AAATATTCTGGAGGGTGTATTAAAGCCTTGGGCACGCAAACATTTTGGCCGCAGACCTTAGACATTCCAACAGGACTCAGCACGCGCCACCCAAGACTGGTTACAAAATGAGGTTCCTCGCTTCATTTAAGCGCACAATGACCACCAAAATCTGCGGATACCAATCCGTTGAACTACTGGGTCTGGAGAATTTTGGAAAGCTAGGTTGGCACTAAAAAATACCAAAGTGTTGATCACCTGAAGCAAGCGCTTCGCCGGGAATGAGCCAAAATACCGCTGAGCAAATTCAGGCAGCGTGTGACGGCTTCATTGGCCGTTTGAAGACCATAATTCGTACCAAAGGTGACCAATTCGAACAAATTTAAACTTATTCTAAAATTTGATTTTATTTTCGAAATTTTTTGCTTCCATTCAATAAAATTAAAAAAAATGTAAAAATTGTGGCGTTTGACTTTGTTGCAGTTTTTTTTTTATCTCACCCCGTAGATCGAGTATATTAAACTTATGATAAATTATATTTTTTTTTTATTTTTTTTTTTTTTCAAATTGTCTTAAAACGACTGAATAATTCTTGCCATAAAAACTTGCTCAGTAAGAATTTTCAAATCCTCAGTAACGCAACTGTCAAAATTGCTCTCACAACTCACTCTCATTTTCTGGACTTTTGAGTTACAACAAAATATAGTAACAATTTGTACAACTTATTGCATTATCAAACACACCTAATATAAAACTTCCATCCCAGGCTGTTTTTATTTGGTTTTAAAACCCACTGTATAGGTATCAGCTGCGATGACAGATATAGACCAAGAGATAGAGAGAAACAATCAAAACAAAGCCATACAAAAGGATAATAAGAAAAAATTGCAGAATCTAGATGAATTACGACAAGTATCTGAGAGATACGATTGAGATAAAATTACAGAATTGTTGTGTAAAAGAAAAAACAATAACAATAATGAATGCAGTTTAATGTCAAAGGAAATAGAATTTATACATACATATATAAGTGTGCATGTATGCATAATAATAAATAAATAAATAATAATTTAGAAATAAAACTTACATCGTTTCGATGATTATGATGATTGTGGTGGTTATGATGATGATGACTATGATGTTGTTGTTGGGAGTGTAAATTGAGAGCTTGTTTCCCCAGGGAATTCATGGTTTTCAATTTAGTTTTACATGACATTTGAAAGGAACGAAAAAAAAAAAAAACCACACACACACACACAAGCAACAAATTATCAACAAAATGCCAAAGGCAAATCAATTGGGGAGAGGGGCCAAATGAAGTGGATCTCGAAGGACTTTTTGCCCCACACTTACACACACGCACTAATGCACCGAGGAGACAGAGAACTAATTTTCATTAAAGCAATTGACAAAACTTTTTGATTTCTTCTCTTTTTTTGTGTTATGTATTTCTTTATTTCGACTTTTTCTTTTGCCTTTTTTTTGTATTTTTTCAACACTTTTCCTTATTTTTCATTCATTCAAAAAATAAATAAAAACAAATTCGATTTTTCTTTTGTGTGCTGGCGAAACGAATAACGAACTGAGAAATCCACCACCAGTTCTTAACTGTTGCTGTTCTGCTCTGTATTGTTGTGCGATTTGCTGCGATATGAGGAACCTTCCGATATATACAAAAAATGATTGTTGTATATATTAGACTACGCAATAACACACTTTTGTTATATTTATTTGCATTAATTTTTATCTTCTTCTTTTTCTTTAAACCGACATTAATACGATGGACGATAAGTGACGTACAACAAATACGACGTTTAATTTTTCTATTTATTTCTTTGGTTTTTATTTTTTTCAAAACCAACAAAAGCTATTGACCGAACGACCAACCAACATTTACTTGGCAGCCTTTGTTATTAAACAATTCGTCTTTTTCCCCTTCATTTATTCATATTTGCCTGTTAATTAATCTTGATTTTCAATAGGAAGAATTTTTTCTATTTTGTTAGACCGACTTTATGTATTTTTCACTTTTTGTTTTTTTTTTCTTCTTTGCTCCACTCTCCACACTTCAATTGCAACTGACTTGTCTAAATTACACAGATTGGATTTTTTTCATTCTGTGGTAAAGTTCGTTGTGTTTTGTCGGTTGAGCGGGGGGGGCTCCGCTGACTGATTGTTATTGTTTGGCGAATACACATCTGTTTTTGGGTTTTTGTTTTGCTTTTCAATTCTTTTTTGTTTTATTTCGTTTTGTTTTGCTAAACGAAGACAACACAAGAGAACATCACAAAAAAAGTTAATGAAACAATCAACGCGACTATTTTTTATTTAATTTATTTATTACACTGCTGGGGTGTGAATTGTTAGTAAATTTACCGCTATTTTGTTGTTTTATTTGTGTAATATTTGCGTTCTTTAGTTGTATGACGACGCAGCAATGGGAACGCAATAACTGCACTAACGTTACTGTAACGTCAACGTATCGTTATGGAACAGCTGTCACTTTGGTAGCTTATGTGTTTAGAGAATACTACCACATTTACACGGCCGCAATAAGTGCATGGACTTTTCGAAAACTTGCGCTAATGTTATTTTTGCCCATGATAGAATTACAAAGTTAATTTTTACATATTTTTCATATGAACAATTTTCATATTTTTACAATTTCTTTAAAAATATGCTTGATAATTTCTTATTATCAAAATGTATATTCGTAAATGCATTGTATATATCATGGCAGAAGAATACAGGCAGATGCATCAACGCTTGGGAGCATTGATATATCATAAAATTGTAAATGTTTATCAAATATAAGTAGATTTTTATTTGTTTTCTTATACGACGTCATTCGGAGGTTATTATAATCCGCGTTTTTCAACAATTTTTGCAAATTTAAATACTTTTTCATTCAACATTTTAAATTCCAAAATTGGTTTGACAGTTCATTGTCCCAGCAGCTGTGTCGACGCGTCTACCTATATTCTTCTAGCATGGTACAACAAAAAGGTAAGAAAGAGCTACCAACTTATTGCAATTTTTTCTTTGTCAAATGTTGTGCATCTACAGAGTGAAATAAAAAAGCTATATTTTTTAAAAAAAATGTCGGAAATAGCATCAAATTTTAGAATAAGTTTAGATTTGTTCAAATTGTACACCTTTGGCACGAATTATGGCCCTCAAACAGCCAATGATGCTAGTCACATGCTGCCTGAATATTGCTTTGCGGTATTTTGGCCCATTCCCGGTGAAGCGCTTGATTGAGGTGATCGACACGTTGCCAAACTTGCTTCCCAAAAAACTCCAGACACAATAGTCCAACGGAATGGTATCCGGAGATTTTGTTGGCCATTGTGCGCTGGAAATGAAGAATGAAGGAACCTCATTTTGTAACCATTCTTGGGTGGTGCGATGGTGCTAAGTCCTGTTGGAATGTCCAAGGTCTGCGTGCCCTGGGCTTTAATACACCCTCCAGAATATTTTCGCGGTAATAATCGGCATTTATTCTGATGCCACGGCGGCCCACACCATCACCATGGCCGGAGCTTGAGCTTTGGTGGCCAACCGAAGGTGCACATTTTCAGCTGACTTCTTTGGCAAGTAAACACCATCATTTTGTTTGTTTATAAACTGCTGCACAAGGAAATGTTTTCTCATCGGAGAAAATCAAATTCGGCAGTTCACCACTTTCGGCCAAGCGAAGCAACTCTTTAGCTCTTTTGAGTCTATTTTCTTTCTGTTGCGGTGTAAGTTCTTGCAGTTTTTGCCGAATGGAATATTGCGATATGTTCAGTTTACGAGCCATTTTTCGGCCACTGCGATAACGTGCGATGATAGTAGACACAAAAGATTTATTCACATTTAAATGCTGGAGCGCTCTAACCATAGCCAATTATGGTTTTCCAGCCAAATTTAAAGAAATCGCACTATCACGCTTGAATTCTATTCCACGAATAACATTTTCTGGAAAATTCACTCATCAAAATACGCGTCTAAACAATATAATGAGCTGTCATTGGCATAATTTTAACAGTTGTCGGACCAGTGGCTTGGAAATGACAGCAGTCAAAAATTGTTTGCAGATTTTTCATCTCACCCTGTACCTTATCAAATTTCACGGCAAAGACAAAAGGTTCCCATATTAATTTGATAATGTTTTCAAATTTACACATTTGACAACATCTCATTGTCAAAATTCATATTTATAAATCCTTTGTATACACAGAAATCAGAGATGGGACCTTTTTTTATTCAATTAAATTTGACAAGGTAAATTACAGAAAATACAGAGATAGACAGTTTTTTTTTTTGAAATTTTATCATGGTTAAAATTTAACGCCTAAAAAGAGAAAGGTCACCCTTTACACTTTTGTTCGATTAAATTAAAGGACAACGATCATTGCCAGAATAATTGCATTCACGGTCTTTGACGTCAATATTTATGTTGCAGTCGCCAGGAAAGAGGTCGCGTACACTTCTTATCATGAGTGTAACCTTCGTTACCCATTTATAATAGTTTGTATACTGCTTCAAATACCAAAAGAATGGGATATAAATAGGAAATATCCTATCAATTGACCTAAAAATATTTCTATTATTAAAAAAAAAGCTATTAAATATATTATAAAAATATAGTATGGTAGAAAAATACAGGTAGATGCATCAACGCTTGGGAGCATTGATATGTCAAAAATTTTTAAATTTCTTTTAAAATATAAGTAGATTTTTATATGTTTTCTTATACGACGTCATTCTGAACTTATTTTAATATGCATTGTTCAACAATTTTTACAAATTTAATTAATTTTTCATTCAGCATTTTAAATTCTAAAATTGGTTTGACAGTTCATTGTCCCAGCAGCTGCGTCGATGCGTCTACCTATATTCTTCTACCATGAAATATAGCCTCAAAGTCATACAATATCAATTTATGTAATATTGATGCACCCTGTATTTGTCACATAACTTCCAAACCTGTTCTCTAGTGTGTACTCTGCTTTAATATGTTATTATCTAACGCCGTCAGTACACCCAGTGACTCTGATGTATGCCGCCTTCATTCACGACTCGCTTCCACCTCTGGACCTGACACATTCCATAGTTTTTTTTGCAAGTGAAACCCAATTTGTTGTAAAAGTATTTTTCAAAGAATATAAAAATGGTAACAAAATATATATAACAATAAAAATAAAACAACAACTAATAAATAATATCCTAATCTATTGCAGGCCAACTATTCAGAAGATCAATTAGCTGGTGAGTAATGAAAAATGTTGAAAAAACATGAATGAGTTTGAAGAAAAATCAATTGGAAAGAACAAGGAGGAGCTACCGTGCCGTCTTTTGTATAAAGAAGTGTTCTTAACAATATGATGTGTGTGGTTTAGTGTTGTTGGGGAGTTGACGTAAACGAGTTCTTGTGCTATCTTTCTTTACTTTGGCATGCATTATAAATTTATTTGGGAGTCGGCAGTTAGGTTTTTGTCGTTGATTTTTGTGGGGGTGAGTCATGTTTCAAAAGAATACCCAAAGTAAACAAATCACTACTGTCTCTTGAATTTTTTTTCTTAACTTTCCCGTATGTAAAACAACAAAGCTGGTGTCTTTGTGCCAGCTCATCTATCTCTTTGTCCACAAAATACAAAAACAGAAAAAAGTTCAATTGTGCCCAAGTGTTGGGTATTGAGGGCATTATTATTATTGTTTTATGCTTTAGTCATCATCAATAACAACAGTAACACTTGATTTGTTGCTTCTTTACGTGTTGACTTGTCACTTGAATGTAACTTGAAATTGAGATTTATTTGTTACGATCTTTTCCAAGCGATAAACATTTGTCAAATGTTTTCATTGCAAATTGAAAACTTTGAATTTATATGATTTTTCCGTGAATTTATTGCATGTGGAAAATAAATGCGTTTTTCAAATTTACTTTATATGGCTTGGAAAAATTGCCTTATTCGTGCTGGTTTCAACACAATTTACCTTATAAGGTAATGTTTACAATCAATCGTTTGGTGTTTTCCTCTCTAAACCCCCTGACAACTTTGCCTGCCTGTTGATCGTTTGGGTCTTGTTTTATCTCTTATTGCATTTTGTGTAACTCAAGCCAATATATTTTTATCTCGATTTTCTTTATTATTTTTTTTAAATTTGTCACAAACCAATTGCTAATACATTACGCAATTTTATTAAGAGCTCTGTTTCTAAAAGATTTTAGATTTTATTCTATTCTGGGTTTCTGTTTTGCACTCCTTCAATTTCTATTAAACAAACACATGCACAATTGCCATCATATCATAAACTATTAATAAATTATAAACGTTTTAATCTTAATTTTTTTTATTGTCAAAGCCAATTGTACTTTGCTTGATAAGGCATTCATTGGTTTTTGGTGGTATTTGTTGTGAATCACGTATAGATATGCCCATGATAGTATTTAATATATTATTGAAATGGTTTGTGGGTATTTGTATTACATGTTATGAATGGATAAAACCCATATTGTATTTATCCATTGATTGGCGGCTATACGTTGCGGTTGAGATTGAGTATTACAATTTACGTTTGAATGAATGATTTCATAGTAGTATTTGAAGATATGTTTTGCATTGGAAATATTTTGAATAGAAAACTTGCTCGAATTCACAATCTGAAGGGACACAGTAAACTAGAAATCGGTAGCAGAATAGTAGGGGTTCAGTGGTTTTACAGAGGGGTAAGAAATGAATTGAAGATTCCTATAATGAATCCATGCTGCTGACATTGCTTCTTTTAAAAAAATTCCAGAATTCTATTTATATATATATATCGTTAATATAAGTCCTAGATTTATCCGAACCAATCATGGCCTAATGTCATAGTTTTTATTACGAAATGACTAGGTACGTACTTAAAATAGGAAATTCTATACTGTTCTATCTTATCAATGCGATAAGTTGATATTTGCAAAAATCTCGTCACAGTTTCACAACTTTGATTAGCTGATATTTTTGCAGTGCGGGTTTTTTTAAATTAAAATTTGTTAATAAATTTGAAAGTACTTTTTAACTTTGCGCCAGCTCTGTAGATTTCAAAATATATGTATTCTCTTGATTTAGGCACTTCAAAAAATTAACTATGCCCTGGTACTTAGAGAGCGGTAGGGTAGAGCATCTAAGGTCATCTGACCGACAATCTCGAGAAGAAAACAAACTCCCTTCTATAAATTACTAGGTTTAATCTAAGGATCGTGGGAGGCACACTCACTGACCATTGCAATATCAGATATCTCACCTCAAGATGGGAGAACAGTGTTCTTAACTACTGTAGACTATGTGAAGATGAAAAAGAGTTCGAGACTCTATCGTTCCCATATATCCCAACATGTACAAGATTACCAAAAAGAATCCCTGGCTAGGCAGACCACCCTGCTAACTGTACTTCTCTCTATAAAATCTTGCTTTACTTCTTTATCTCTCCCATCCTCAACAACTTTATTCTTTCGTTTAGATGCACATCCGAACCAAACCAACCATGTCTGGAAAAAATTTGTTTTAGAACTTTCTCCCCATAACAATGCTTATTCGAACCATGTTAAAAGAGCTTATGGCACAGCCTTTAATTCCTAAGTAACTCTCCCTGTTGAACAATCTTTTTCACCCGAAAATTGACACTAAAATTAAAAAATCTACTGCTACTTGAAAATCAACGCCAAAGAACTCAATGCCAAAATTATAAAGTTTTCTCAATATTTTTTCTCAAATGCACCATAAATGGTATAACAACCTAGATTTTTTGGGTAAAAAAAAAACTCCATGTGAATGTTAAACAAACAAAAAATACACACCATAAATCATTTTGTGTCGATCGTGAGATACACAGAGACGTGGTAAATTCCATAATTAGTTTTCCATCAACCTGCACATTCAGCTCTGTATCCATCTCTGCAGACCATGTGGTAAAGAGTATGGTCGTTGATTTAGTGGCGGATGTGCTCATATTTTTTGCGTGAAAGTAGACGGCAAGCTCCGCGAGATAGGTGTTCAATCCATTCACATACAGGGTGAGATAAAAAAAAATGACAGCATCAACTTTTAGAATAAGTTTAGATTTGTACGAATTGGTCACCTTTGGCACGAATAATGGCGTTCAAACGGTCAATGAAACCGTCACACGCTGCCCGAATGTTGCTCTGCGGTATTTTGGCCCATTCCCGGCAAAGCGCTTGCTCGACACTTTGATATTTTATAGTACCAACCTTGCTTTCCAAAATACTCGAGACACAATAGTCCAACGGATTGGTATCCGGAGATTTTGGTGGCCATTGTGCGCTGGAAATTAAGCAAGGAACCTCATTTTGTAACAATTCTGGGGTGGCGCGTGCTGAGTGCGATGGTGTTGAGTCCTGTTGGTCTTTAATACACCCTCCAGAATATTTTCACGATAATATTCGGCATTTATTCTGATACGACGGTAGATTTATACTACCTGAGAGCGATCATCGTCTGTTAATGCGGCTCACACCATCGCCATGGCCGGCGCTTGAGTTCTGGTGGCCAACCGAAGGTGAACATTTTCAGCTGACCTCTTTGGCCAGTAAACACGATCATTTTGTTTGTTGACAAACTGCTGGACAACGAATGTTTGCTCATCCGAGAAAACCAAATTCGGCAACTTTCGGCCAAGTGAACCAACTCTTTAGCTCTTTTGTGTCTATTTTCTTTCTTTTGCGTTAAAAGTTCTTGAATTTCAATGGCTTTGGAATTTCAATGGCTTTACCCCGAGCTCATTTTCCAATATTTGCCGAATGGAATATTGCGATATGTTAAGTTCACAAGCCATTTTTCGGCCACTGTGGCGCGGATTTCGATCAAGTCGCTTCTTTACTTTTCGAACCATTTCTGCTGATGTTGCTGTTTTCTTCCGTCCACTTCTTTGACGTCGGGCTACGCACCAGTATCACGGTAACGATCGATGCTACGAGACACGAACGATCTATTCACATTTAAATGCTGGAGTGCTCTAACGATAGCCACTTGTTGTTTTCCAGCCAAATATAAAGAAATCACACTATCACGCTTGAATTTCATCACGAATAACTTTTTTTAGGAAAATTCTCACCAAAATGCTTTTGTACCCCTGTAACAATATAATGAGCTGTCACTGAAATAATTTTAACAGCTGTCGGACTTGTGGCTTTAAAATGACAGCAGTCTGAAATTGGTTCCAGTTTTTTCATCTCACCCAGTATATGGGTATATAGCCCAAATTTCGCCGAAGATTTTTCTATGTTAGGGAATATAGAAAACAATTCATCGAAATTTTTTTTTATGTGGGGATTTTCTTTTCTTATTAATTTTCCAAACTACGCCACAAAACAAATAATTTAAGCTTCATTAGAGAAAAAAAATCAAAAAAAAAAAAAAACAAGCCATTACGACAAATTTGGTATTAGCCGATATGTGAAACAAACGAAAACACAATACGTGTTCAATCAAAAAAGATAAAAAAACACACAAATGAGCTTTGTGAAAAACCACAAAGTCACAGGGGAGGAAAAAGGCCAGTCAAGGGGAAGGTGAAAAACGTCAAACTTGCCTCAAGTTTTTTTTCTTTGCAATTTGTTTGTGGCTTTTGGCTAGACAGACAAGCTATGCCACAGCCACAAACAAGCTATTTAGTTGTTATTAAATTATTAAACAGTTACAAAGAGCGCAGTATAGCTTTAGAAAAGAAGGTTGAAAACGAAAACATCTATTGAAGAGTATTATTTAAATATTTAATTTAAAGAAAAAAAAATAATGTATCTTTATGAGCCTGTTGTTAAATATACCTTTACCACTGTTGAAGGTAAAGAGAGGAGGGAGCAACAAGACATACATTTTCGGCTGCATAATGGACTTTTATTTAATTAATTGTTCTCTGTGTTATTTTCAGAATTCCAAGAAGCCTTCAACTTGTTCGATAATCGCGGTGATGGCAAAATCCATGTCAGCCAGGTGGGTGAATGTTTGCGTGCCTTGGGTCAAAACCCCACTGAATCGGATGTCAAGAAATGCACACATCAACTGAAACCGGACGAACGAATTTCCTTTGAAGTATTCCTACCCATTTACCAGGCCATTTCAAAGGCCCGTTCTGGCGACACAGCCGATGATTTCATTGAGGGTTTGCGTCATTTCGACAAAGATGCCAGTGGTTTCATATCCTGTGCTGAGTTGAGACATTTACTTACAACATTGGGTGAGAAATTGACCGATGAAGAAGTAGAACAGCTGTTGGCTAACCAAGAAGACTCTCAAGGCAATGTTAACTATGAAGAATTTGTGCGTCTGGTCATGAATGGTTAAGCATAAAAAAAGACATGGAAAGTGGGAGCATGGCTGCCAAAAAAAAAATAGATACACTATATCACCTATGTACTTTAATAACAACCACAACAACAACAACAAAACCCCACAACATACCAATTTTTTATACATAAATGTAGTTGTTGTTTTTTATAACTTATTAATTTTAATTGAGTTATTCCAGCAAATTTTCATAACCTCTTAAATTAAAAAACACAATTGTTTAAACTCAAAAAGTATCTTTAAAAAAAGTATTCAATTGCATCTAGTTTATTAATAACAAAATTGCATTTAAACAAAACGTAAAAAAAGAAAAACAAAAAATTTCTAAATTAAATAATCTTGGTCTTCAATTATTTTGTGTATTGTTTCGTTATAAGCTTATTTAAAAGAAAATATACAGTGCTAATTAAACGTTGCTTCTTTTAATTTTCAATTTGCCTAACAACCACTAACAATTAAAACATTTACTTACAATTTAATTTTTTTATACACATAAAGTCTAGAGCATCATACATATATTTCGTCGTTCGACCTCATTGATGTCATAAGACAACAACAATGCCATAAATATGTTTTTTTTTTTTTCTTCTTTTGCAACTCCTCTGTGGCTATTACATATCCACGGCGAGTTTCCTTTTAAGACTAACATCCATTTTTCCAGCTACAATTTTTTGTTCAACATTTATTTCAATCAAATTCCCAATCCCAAGTATTATTGTCATTTAAATTTAAGTCATTTAATTCCTTGTTTAACTGCAAACTTTCATCTGTTTTTTTAAAAAAAATGAAAAATAAATTATTAAAATTAATAACAAATTGAGTTGAGCTGATTTTATTGCAAATACCTCTGAGTTCCTCATAATCGGATACTTGCATTCCGAAACGCTGTGTTACATCCAAAATACTGCTGTGACGGCATTGTTTGAAAAAGGAGTGGGACAAGAGTTTGAGGGCAGGCCAACGATTTGCTGGCTTCTTTTCCATGCAAATCTCTGTAAATTGGTGGAATTCATCGCTGAACATTCGTTGTAAATAGATTTGTTGGGTTTCGGCAGCTACTGTGGTATCGGTTTTGTTGGCAGTGGCAATAATTTCTAGGAGACAAGAAAAATTAAACAAAATTTCGAATTTTCGATTAAAATTTCCCTATGGAGATGCTGGAGGATTTTCTATGGAAAAATATACGTGAATTATCAATGAAAATTTTTCTATGGAAATGTACGTAATTTTTCGACGAAAATTTTCCTATGGAAATGTGGGAGAATTTTCGACAAAAAATTTTCCTATGGAAATGTGGGAGAATTTTCGACGAAAAATTTTCCTATGGAAATGTACGTGAATTTTCGACGAAAAATTTTCCTATGGAAATGTAATTTTTCTATGGAAATGTAGGAGAATTTTCGATGAAAATTTTCCTATGGAAATGTAGGAGAATTTTCGATGAAAAATTTCCTATGGAAATGTAGGAGAATTTTCGATGAAAATTTTCCTATGGAAATGTAGGAGAATTTTCGATGAAAATTTTCCTATGGAAATGTAGGAGAATTTTCGGCGACAAATTTTCCTATCGAAATGTAGGAGAATTTTCGACGAAAATTGTTCTATGGAAATGTAGGAGAATTTTCGACGAAAACTGTTCTATGGAAATGTAGTAGAATTTTCGACGAAAATTGTTCTATGGAAATATAGGAGAATTTTCGACGAAAAATTTTCCACGGAAATATAGGAGAATTTTCGACGAAAATTTTTCATGGAAATGAAGGCGAATTTATGACGAAAATTTTTCTAGGAAAATGTAGGAGAATTTTCGACGAAAATCTTTCTAGGGAAATGTGGGAGAATTTTTGACGAAAATCTTTCTATGGAAATGAAGGAGAATTTTCAACGAAAATTTTTCTATGGAAGATTTTTTTTCGAAAATTTCCCCACGGAAATATCGAGTAATTTTCGTTGAATATTTTCCTAAAGAAATATGGAGAATATTTTGTGGAAAATTTCCCTATAGAAATATGGAGGTTCAAGACGGTTACTTCAGTTCAAAACAAACATTTTAAAATACCACTCACCAATCATTTCATCTACACCGGGGCAAGTGGAACGATCTAATAACGTAGGAACATTACCGCGTATTTTTTCCGTAAACATAAAAGTGGGTGGCGAGTCGGCAAATGGCTCCACACCATTAGCCAGTTCGCAGCATGTTATACCAATAGAATAAATGTCCGATTTCTCCGTATAGCCAATAAGATTTTGTTCCAAAACCTCTGGGGCTAACCAATTTAAGCTACGAATACTATTGGGAGGTAGTTGGTGCAGGACTGTGACTCTTCCACCATGCGATATAAAGCTAGTACAATCACGGAATCCAGTTAATACTGCTTTGGTTTGATTAAGAAGTATGTGACTAGCACGAATGGATCGATGGACATAACCGCGACGATGTAAATACTCCAAGCCAGATAGAACATCACGCATTATTAGGGCAATGAAAATTTCGGGAAAACCTAGCAAAATTTTCAATTAGCAAATGTGAGTTGCAGTTAAAATGTATTACTACATACCTGTGGTAAAAATATTCCTTATCGTATCACGACAGCTACCGAAACACATTAGCGGTGATACCACATACAGGTCGCTGTCGTTGACAAAGGCTGTGTGGAACTTGTGCAGGTTTGGATGACTAAATAATCGCATGGCCATTATATCGTCCTGTATGCTCTCCGTCACCTGTTTATCATTCCTATCCAAATGGTATTTTTTCACAGTCACATATTGTTGATTGGGCAAATATTTTGCCATATACACAACTCCATTGGAGCAGCGAGATAATTCTAGTTTTATATCATAATCCTTGATGTTCCAACCAAACATTGTGTTAACAATGTTGTGTGTTTTTCTAAGGATCTATAATTTAAATTAAATGAAGGATACGAGATACGAAGGATAAGAATTGTGTCGTTCCTGAATAGTTCAATAACGCAATTCATTGAAAGAAAACAGGGGGAATAGTTTCATTCAAGTCTAAAACATATGTTTGGCCGTGGATGGGAATGTTACTTTTTAACATATTTAGTTACATGAGTTTTATTTTTTTTTTTTCTTAAGTAAAAATATAATATAATTTCTATGAAGATAATATATATAAAAATTGTTAAAACAAGAAGATTTACATTAAAAAGTCGTAGAATATCAACAATTGTCAGGTATCAACAGTTGCATGGGGTAGTCCATTCACAGTGAATAGCCAATCAGCTGCAAATGATAGTGGCCTAACAGATTAAATGCGTATACGCGTATACGTTGACAGAAAATACAACAATAGTACGGCGGTGACTGCAATACAAGCGGTGTCTTGTTGATCTGGAAAATAAAACTAATATATAAAATATTATAAAAAATATAATGACGGATGCTTGGGATGATATTAAGGCGTTAAAAAATAAACGTAATAATTTACGCGAGAAGTTGGAGAAACGTAAAAAGGAACGCCATGGCATTTTGGCATCTACCGGCGGATCACCGCTAACAAAACAGGAGGATAGCAATGAGGATGATGTTAAAAGCGTTTCTTTGGTTGGGAAAAGTGAAAATGGTAAGAAAAACACTCCATTCACATAAATGTAAGAAGTGTTTATGTATTTTCTTTTAGAATCCGATACGGCAGTTGAACAGGCCCTGATGGAAATATTAAGTTCTGAGACACTGATTTTGCCCATAATATCCACGCAGTTGTTGCAAAAAGTTGCGGCTATCACAAAGACGCCAGTGGGAAAGGACAGTGTAAACTATGTGCTCAATAAAATGGCAAAACAGGGGGCAATATGCATTAAACGTGTCACCATTGGTGGCGAGGTGGGTTGTGAAGTCATCTCCGTGGAGACAAAGGTCTTATTGGACATCTATAAGGCATTTATTAATGATAATTATGATTTAACGGAAGAGATTAGGAGGAAATATAAGATATTGTGTGAGTATTCCATGTTTCCATGAATCGAAGATTATGGTGATATATATTTTTTTTTCAGTTGACGAAGAAGAAGGTCTGCTGGAAGATAGCATCAGCAATGACAAGCCTGATGACAGTGAAGAAAGTTCGGAACGAAAGGAAACCTCTAATAATGCTGATTCAGATGATATTATGGTAAATGCTTGTTCAAGTATCATCTCTGTCTCTTAATAATAAAATTATGTTTCTCTTAGTCCCTTCTTTCCATGCCTTCCACACGAGAAAAACAGAGCAAACAAGTTGGTGAGGAAATTCTTGAGTTGCTGACGAAACCCACCGCCAAAGAACGTTCGGTTGCAGAAAAATTCAAATCTCATGGTGGTGCTCAAGTCATGGAATTTTGTCCACATGGAACCAAAATAGAATGCCTAAAAGCCCAACAAGCCACTGCTGAATTGGAGGCCAAAAAGAAACGAGAACAGCAGCTGCAAAAACAAAAATTGAAACTAGCCAAACAAAAGCGGCCCGCAATTGTGGCAGAAAATAATACATCTGAAGCCAATGGCAGTGAAGATAGTGCCCCGAAACGTTTGAAACCGAACGAAACAGAAGGCGAAGAACCGATGAAAACGGAAAAAGCATCTGAAGATTCTGGTGCCGAAGATGGTGAAATTACTGCCGACAATCCGAAAGATCCAGACGTAGACGAAGGGGAAGACGAAGAAAGTGCCGAGGACGATAACACAGAGGATGCGTGTAACAGCGAGACAAGCAAATGTACAAAACTGCATTTCAAGAAAATCATACAATCCCATACCGATGAGTCATTGGGTGATTGTAGTTTCCTTAACACTTGCTTCCACATGGCCACGTGCAAATATGTACACTATGAAGTGGATACATTGCCGAACATTAACACAAACAAGCCGGTAGATGTCAAGACTAATAGGTGTATTAAACGTAGTGTCGATCCGAATGTTACTCTGTATCCACCGCAGTGGATTCAATGTGACTTACGTTATTTAGATATGACAGTATTGGGTAAATTTGCTGTCGTCATGGCCGATCCACCATGGGATATTCACATGGAATTGCCATATGGTAGGGGTTTGGGTTTAATTTCGTATATTCAGATAATGATATATTCTTTTTTACGATATTATAGGTACAATGTCCGATGACGAGATGAGACAATTGGGCGTACCAGCTTTACAGGACGATGGTCTTATATTCCTTTGGGTCACGGGACGTGCAATGGAACTGGGACGAGAGTGTCTTATGTTGTGGGGGTGAGTTGGATTGAAAAGGGAGAAAATTCTATTCTGCTCGTAGAATAAATGCTTCAAGTTTCCAATAATTTTTCCTTCATTTTTAATTTCTTCATTAATTCTTTAAAGCTACGAACGTGTCGATGAATTAATTTGGGTAAAAACCAATCAATTGCAACGTATTATCAGGACAGGCCGTACAGGACATTGGCTCAATCATGGCAAGGAACATTGTCTTGTGGGCATGAAAGGAAATCCCAAAAATCTTAATCGTGGCTTAGATGGCGGTAATCTCTTTTTTTCTCTTTGTTTCTAAATAAAAATACACCACTTTTGTTTTTTGTTTATTTCTTTTAGATGTCATTGTGGCCGAAGTTCGTGCCACATCCCATAAGCCAGATGAAATCTATGGCATTATAGAACGTTTAAGTCCCGGCTCACGTAAAATTGAACTATTTGGTCGTCCCCACAATGTTCAGCCGAATTGGATTACATTGGGCAATCAATTGGATGGTATACGTCTAGTTGATCCAGAGCTAATAACACAATTTCAAAAACGATATCCCGATGGAAATTGTATGGCGCCCGCTACAACAACCACCACTGCCGTAGTTAAGAAATAAAGTATTTTGCCTTTTTCAATTTAATTTTATTTTCTGTGTGAATCGACAACATTTAAGTTATACTTACTTTTATATTAAACAAAAAAGAAAACAAATGTCTTAAGAGAAAAGATTAATTAAATTAAATCTTGGATGAGTTTTTGAAGAAAAAAATAGTGGTTAATCAAGCAAAGAGGGGTCATTGAAAGGTGATTTAGAATATTGCAAAACAAACAGAAATTGTGTTGTTAGTCTTTATTTTCTCTTCAGACATATCGAAATCTTGTTCTGTGGATTTTAAATGGAATATTTTTCAAGGATATTTATGGACATTAAAAGGAATATTTTTCGAGGATATTTGTGGATTTTAAAAGGAATATTTATGATTTTTATAAGACTAATAGTCGTGGATTTTTAAAGGACTATTGGATCAATAATCGTAGATTTTTATAGGACAATAGGACCAATAACCGTGGATTTTTATAGGACTATAGGACAAATAGTCGTGGATTTTTATAGGACCAATAATCGAGGACTGTTATAGGATTATAGGACCAATAGTTGTGGATTTTTATAGCACCAAGAATTCTGGATTTTTATATTGCCAATAAGAGGACTTTAGACCAATAACTCTGATTCTTTTAAGGAATATTTTTCTAGGACTTTTAGACCAATAAGAAGATTTTAGACCAATATTTGTAAATTTTTTAAAGAATATTTTTCTAGGACTTTTAGACCGACCATCGTTTTTTAGGCATATTGTCCTCTCATTGAATTCCTATTTATTCAGTTTTCTTTTTTCTCATTTCTTTTTAAAAAATGTGCCTTTTTTAAAAAAGATTTGCCCAAAACAAATCCTTTTTTAAATACTTTATATTCCAAAAATATTTATTCTTACTGTCATCTTAGCATTTTCTTTTACGAATAAGACGATTCTATGCCTCAGGGATTTCTTAGCCAATATCGGCAGAAAACAAGTGTTGTAAAGAATTGTATGAAAATTCTAGAGGGTGAGATTAAAAAACTGCAACCAATATCAGACTGCTGTCATTTCTAAGCCACAAGTCCGACAGCTGTTAAAATTATTCCAGTGACAGTTCATTATATTGTTTACAAGTGTACAAAAGCATTTTGGTGAGAATTTTCCATTCAAAAAGTTATTCGTGATGGAATTCAAGCGTGATAGAGTGATTTCTTTATATTTGGCTGGAAAGCCACAAGTGGCTATCGTTAGAGCACTCCAGCATTTAAATGTGAATAAATCTTTTGTGTCTCGTACCATCGCTCGTTACCGTGATACTGGTAGCGTAGCCCGACGTCAAGGAAGTGGACGGAAGAAAATAGCAACATCAGCAGAAATGGTTCGAAAAACAAAGAAGCGACTTGATCGAAACCCGCATCGTAGTGGTCGAAAAATGGCTCGTGAGCTGAACATATCGCAATATTCCATTCGGCAAATATTGAAAAGTGAGCTCGGGGTAAAGCCAGTGGGTGCAAGAACTTACACGGCAACAGAAAAAAATAGACTCAAAAGAGCTAAAGAGTTGCTTCGCTTGGCCGAAAGTGGTGAACTGCTGCCCAAATTGGTTTGGTCCAGCAGTTTGTAAACAAACTAAATTATCGTGTTTACATGTCATGTTACAAAATGGGCACCTTCGGTTGGCCACGAGAACTCAAGCGCCGGCCATGGTGATGGTTTGGGCCGCCATAACAGCCGATCGTCGCTTCCGCACGTATTAATCGATCAGAATAAATTGATCAGAATAAAAATATTCTGGAGGGTGTATTAAAGCCTTGAGCACGCAAAGTTTTTGGCCGCAGGCCTTGGACATTCCAACAGGACTCAGCACCATCGCACTCGCCACCCAAGAATGGTTACAAAATGAATAATAAAAAAATATTCAGACCTGCCAGAATGCCGCCCTGAGAACTGCAACAGGGTGCCTCCTCATGACTCCTGTGGACCATTTACATGAGGAGACGAAGGTTCTTCCATTACGTCAGCATAATCATATGCTTTCGTTGCAGTACCTGCTTGGGTGTTATCGTGGGAGTCACCCTAACCACCATAAGGTGGATAGAACTCCCCCACCCAGGCGTGTCAGGAAGGACCTGCACGATCTAGAGAGAGAGGTCCAGTGATATAAGAGAGAGCCTCTAGATCATGAAGTCTATCAAGCGGGTCTGAATAGCATTCATACTGATGCAGTCGCAGAGGTTGTTAATAATTACAGTATGAATGCCATACTCGGAGTCCACCCCATCCATTGCAGCTGAAGAACGTCGGCTGCCTAGGCAAATCAGGGTAGTTTTGGCCCAACTACGTTCAGGATGGTGCAGCCGTCTTAATTCGTATTGGGCACGAATTGATGAGGATGTGCGGAACGCCTGCCCAGCGTGCGATACAGGCCCGCACAACACGCTGCACTTGTTTAATTGTCCAGCCAAACCTACCCAACTCCGTCCAGAGGATCTATGGCTACAGCCCATAAAGGTAGCAGAATTCCTAAACCTGGACATTGAGGAAGAACCGGATTAGTCGGAAAAAACAACGGAACATGTAAAACTGCTACAACAACAAAATGAGGTTTCCCGCTTCATTTCCAGGCCACCAAAATCTCAGTATACCAATCCGTTGGACTATTGTGTCGACCACCTCAAGCAAGCGCTTCCTTCACAGGGAATGGGCCAAAATACCGCAGAGCAACATTCGGGCAACGTGTGACTGTTTCATTGACCGTTTGATGACCATAATTCGTGCCAAAGGTGACCAATTCGAACAAATCTAAACTTATTCTAAAATTTGATGTTATTTCCGATATTTTTCGTTTCATTCAATAAAATTTAAAAAAAATGTAAAAATTATGGCGTTTGTATTCTCTGCCGATTTCACATATTTGTCGCACCAATTTCAATAAAATATGGAAGGTGTGACGGAATTTGGTGCAAAAGTAAATTTTGTCAAATATATTGAAAACGGTTCCGATTGGGATATGAATTTATTAAGAAGCATTGACCCACAACGCCTTTGCAATGCAATAGTAAAAAATAGTAAAAAACTACACAAAATTTTAATTGAGGATACGATTATTACTAATTGCAACAGAATTTCCACATGGTCATTTATTTAAGCATAAAAGTATTATATTTTTCAATTTTTAATTTGTTTTATAATTTTTTAACCAACACATATTCGTATATAAAATTTTGAATGCATATAAAATCAAAGGGGGTAGCCAAGCGCGCCGGATTCAGCTAGTAATATATAAAACCTTAAACCTTAGTATCCAAGTAACGTAAATGTATTATCCACGTTATCCGAATAACTTAAATATATTATCCACATTATCCAAATACCGAAAATGCATTATGCAGGCTTTACGAATTTCGTAAATGAATTATCCACATTATCGAATTCACATAAATATATTATCCACGTTATTCAAAGTAACATAAATATGTTTCCAAGTTATCCAAATATCGTAAATGCATTATCCATGGTATCCAAATAACCTACATAAATTATCCACGTTATTTAAATAACTTAAATAAGTTATCCACGTTATCTAAACTACATAAATATAATAACCAAGTTATCCTAACGTTGTAAATGTATTATTCACGTTGTCTAAATAACGAAAATATATTACCCAGATCATCCAAATAACAAAAATATATTATCCACCATATTATAAATTATCCAAATAACTCTAAGCTATTTTTTCGATGAAACAAAACACTTTAAATAATTATTTTTTTCAGAATTTATATTTTCATTTTGTGTTTTTTTATTATCTATACAATAAACATAATTTTAAAACTAATTACATCATCATTATCATCATTGGTATTGTAAATGGTTTCATTGTTATTTGTTTTTTAGTACTTTTCTAAAATTAGTTATACAATATTTTTGCCAGAGAAATATCATATAAATTAAATGGCGGCGATGAGTAATTTTTTTCAGAGAAATAGAATAAAATTCAACAAAAAATTTCCAAAAACTGTGTGTCATAAATTAAAAATATAATTTTTGGGTTAAGGGAGAAATTTAAATAAAAACACTATGTGTTGGGAGAAATGTTAGTTGAAAGAGAAAAATATTAAATCATTTTTGGATATTTATTTTCTGAATGACACGGAGTATGCATCTAATTTTGATATTAGAAAGGAAGCTACAAGGTGGTTTTCACAAAATAATCTATGTATAGTTATATATACAACATAATATGTTTGAGTTTTGGTTTTTGTTTTAGATTTCCTTTGTTTTAGAATTATGTAGAGTTTGTTATTGTAATATAAAAATATATATATATGTATATGATTTGTATGCAATGATTTTCATGTTGCTCTCATTTTATTTGTGAATTTTTTGTTTTGGGGTTTTTATTTTAAAAATAAAATATTGGTAGTGGCTTTAGGGATTGCAACAATCCATTCTTCCATCCATCCATTTCCGCACTGCTTAAATGGAAACGTCGTCGTTAATGTTTGTGTTATTTTTTTGCAAAATAGCCATTGCTTGATCCTTGAGTTTAAAAACTAAATTTGATGTGGTTTGTTTTCTTTTGCAGTTTCTAAGATTTTAAATATCAATATTTGCTTTTTTTAAATATATACACACTTGCAACAAACACAAGGGATTTAAGTTTAAAGGATTTCTTAAAGATAATAGACAATAGAATGCTCCTCTTGTGTTCGTTTTGACTGGATTTGTGTTTTAACGTGTTGGCGATGTCAGACCGTGTACAGCCTTCAGGACCACAAAACCCAAGACTGTGGCAGCAGCTACACCCAGACCAGCTTTCCACCATAATGTGGGATCCTCAGTCATGAGACCGAATTGACGTAAATGGCTGAAGGTGGGGAGAAACAAAGACAAGTATTAATTTTCATTATCAAATAACTAAATTAGAACATATAAAAAATATTTATGTTTAAAAAATCAATATGAAAAATTAGGAAATGAGGGAAAGAATACAAAAAAATAATGTTATTAAATTAAAATAAAAAGAAAAAAATAAAAACTAAACATTGGGCGAAGCCCATTTCTAATGCCATCTATACCACTTTGTTATGAAAATTATAATTATTTTCAAGATAATTCTTTTGTATACATTCAATTTGTTTACATTTTTATTTTGTTTATGTCATTTCCTATTCGAATAACAAAAACATATTATTTGTCTCATCCAAATAAGATATATATGTTATCGATGTTAACATGACTTGATCGAAACCCGCGTCGCCGGGCCGAAAAATAGCTCGTGAGCTGAACATATCGCTATATTCCATTCGGCATATATTGAAAAATGAGCTCGGGGTAAAGCCATTGAAATTCCAAAAAGTGCAAGAACTTACACCGCAACTGAAAGAAAATAGACTCAAAAAATCAAAAGAGTTGCTTCGCTTGACCGAAAGTGGTAAACTGCCGAAATTGGTTTTCTCCGATGAGAAAACATTCGTTGTCCAGCAGTTTGTAAACAAACAAAATGATCGCGTTTACTTGCCAAAGAGGTCAGCTGAAAATGTGCACCTTCGGTTGGCCACCAGAACTCCGGCCGGCCATGATGTGATGTTGTGGGCCGCCATAAAATCCGATTGTCGCTCTCCGCTCGACCGCGGCATCAGAATAAATGCCGAATATTATCGCGAAAATATTATAGGGTGTATTAAAGCCTTGGGCACGCAAACATTTTGGCCGCAGACCTTGGACATTCCAACAGGACTCAGCACCATCGCACTCAGCACGCGCCACCCAAGAATGGTTACAAAATAAGGTTTCTCGCTTCATTTCCAGCCATGGTGTCGATCACCTCAAGCAAGCGCTTCCCCGGGAATGGGCCGAAATACCGCAAAACAACATTCGGGAAGCGTGTGACGGTTTCATTGGCCGTTTGAAGGTCATAATGCGTGTCAAAGGTGACCAATTCGAACAAATCTAAACTTATTCTAAAATTTGATGCTATTTCCGACATTCTTTGCTTTCATTTAATATAATTAAAAAAATGTAAAAATTATGGCGTTTGATTTCTTTGCTGTTTTTTATCTCACCCTGTATATTCTTGATCAGCATAATATTCTATGTCGATTTAGCGATGTCCGTCCGTCTGTGTAAATCACTCTAGCTTCCGAACTAACTGAAGTAGGTTGATAAAATTTTACTCAAATAAGTATTATGTCTGCAGGGTTTTTGGTATTGAAAATGGGTGATGTAGGTTCACGGTTTGGTGTAGCCCCCATATAATGGTACCTCCCTATTTTCCATATTTTGCTGATTTTAGCGACATTATTCACCGGAATTGTTTCAAATTTGGTATTTGAAGTTCATAATGGATATTGTCTGTGCAGGTTCACGTCTTCGTATCCCCCATATAACGCTACCTCCCTTTATATGGTATTTTGATGATATTATCGACATTATTCACCGGAATTGTTTCAAATTTGGTGTTTGAAGTTCGTAATGGGTACTACAGCCTATGGCTTGTCTGTGCAAGTCCATGTCTTCATATAGCCCCCATATAACGGTACTTCTCGGTATTCAGTGCTTTGATTATTTAAGCGACATTGTTCATCGGAATTGTTTCAAAATTTGGTATTTGAAGTTCGTAATTGACGACTACAGCCTATGACAGAAAATTGTCTGTGCAGGTTCACGTATTCGTATAGCCCCCATATAACGCTACCCCCGATATTCTGTATTTTGATGATTTTGGCGACATTATTCACCGGAAATGTTTCAAATTTGGTATTTGAAGTTCGTAATGTGTACTGCAGCCTGTGACAGAAAATTGTCTATGCAGGTCCACGCCTTCGTATGCCCCCATAAAACGGTACATCCCTCCCCCACAATATTTTGATATTTGTATTTTTCGCATTTGAATATTGTAATGGTTTATGACAATGCAGGTCCACGTCGTCGTATAGATCGCAATATAATGACTACATTCGGTATTTTTAAGATTTTAACAGAATTTTAACGGATTTTATTTATTTAAAAAAAATTGACAAAATCGTTCCAAAGATCGACCCGGCCAAACTAAAAGCTTTTTTACTTTTTTTTTTCTTTGAAAATGTTCAAATTTCCCCCAAATGGTGGAGGGTATAAAAATTTCGGCCCGGCAGAACTTAACTGCTTTTTTTAATTGTTTTCCTTTATAAAAGTATTATTTTCAAATATTTCATAGAACGAGAATTGAATCCCTGTAATAAATTTGTAACCTCTTAAATTCATATTTGCTTCTCATATTCTTATAAGATATATAACAAAGTGGTGTAGTTAAAGAATTTCTGTCAACATACATGTTTAAATAAAAAATCAAATAGGTAGAAAAAAATATAAAAAATTGTGGTTACACATTTAATTTATTTACAACAAAAAAAATACGACAGAAGAAAAATAAACCGAAAAAATTATTAGCACACTGGTGATTGATGTAAATTATAAAAGCAAATAGCAAGTAGATCGAAAGGTAAGTAAGTGCTACTGCAAAGTATTTGCCAGTTTTATTTGCGCTCTTAGCAATTGGTGTGGATGAGTGGTGGTGGGTGGATTGGTGGCATTAATGTTCTTTTAAGAGACTCGCGCACACACACACAACAAATAGGTTTATTACATATATTTATAGAAAAAAAGAAAACATTGATATTTGCATATTAATAAAGTACGGTAGATTAGTAGATCAATTAAACTTACGCCGATTCCCACAGCTGTACCAACCTGTGCTTGTAAAATAATATCCATGCGGCTTGAAAGCGTCTTTATATATACGAATTTTATAAAGATTTTGTTTTGTTTTTAGTTTCAATAAATCGCGCCGATTTTTGTTTTGTTTTCATAAACAAAAACGACAATCATTATTTGAAAAATATGATTTGTTTTTTGAATGCACCAGTATCCATTTTATTATGACATTTTGTTTCACAAAACACCACCATTAACAACATAAATTTAGAGGGGGAAAATTGAAAAAGAGAATAAAATATAAATTATTACTAGATTGTTATTATTTGAAACTATGTTTTCAATAATCATTTCGTTTTTCTTTTTAAAGTGGATTATAATCGGTTTCACCTGGGCAATTAAATTAGAAAAAAATTGTATTTATTATTGAATAAAAAAATATTGATTTTTTTGAATAGGTTTTGAATTTATGATTATAAACCCCTTTGAAATATTGAAAATAATTTATTAAAAAATATATGTGTAACAAAAGAAAAGATAAAAAGTATTGCAATGCATTCCAAATGTTATCCTATGATTAACAAAATTTTGTATATCGATTGACAAATAAAAAACTTGCTTTAATCGTGTAATATTGAAAACAGTAGGCAAACTCGTTGGGCTGTCAAAGTGAAAAAATGCATGGTACAAAAAAAAGGTAAGGCTATGTATGCCCGACTTCTGCCAATTTTGTGTATGAATTTATTGTTTGAAAATTATGAGAAATAAAAATATTTTTAAAACCAATGGTTGCAAGACACGTAGATTGCGGCTCGCGCATTAAAGCTATTAACCAGTTTAGCCATGAAATTGAAAGATTGAAAAATTTGGATCATATATTTGAGCGAAAATCCAGACATTTCATAGATTTTTCGCGCTATTTAACTCTTTAAAAATGAGGAAAATATGAAAAAAAGTAAAACAACTTGTTGTATATAATTTTGAAATAGTCTGACAGGAAACGTGCATAGCCTGCCTCAGGGTTGTATTTCTGTAGTTTTACGAAGCTTTTCTACCTCCTCATTGTACCATGAAAAATGTATATTTTATCCTCATTATTGTGTGTTTAAAACCCCTGAATATATTCTTGACATTTTGGTATGGATCTACAAAGCAAGATGAAAAACTACAACCAACTTCAGACTGCTGTCATTCCTAAGTCACTCGTCCGACAGCTGTTACAAATATTCCAGTGACATCTGATTATATTGTTTACAACCCTACAAAAGCATTTTGCTGAGAATTTTACAGAAAAGAAGTTATTCCTGATGAAATTCAAGCGTGATAGTGTGATTTCTTTATATTTGGCTGGAAAACCACAAGTGGCTACCGTTAGAGCACTCGAACATTTAAATGTGAATAAATCTTTTGTGTCTCGTACCATTGCTCGTTACCGTGATACTGGTAGCGTAACCGTAGCCATCAACAGAAATGGTTCGAAAAGTAAAGAAGCGACTTGTTCGGAACCCGCGTCGCTCGCAGTGGCCGAGTGGCTCGTGAGCTGAACATATCGCAATATTCCATTCAGCAAATATTGAAAAATGAGCTCGAGGTAAATCCATTGAAATTCCAAAAAGTGCAAGAACTTATACCACAACAAAAAAAATAGACTGAAAAGAGCTAAAGAGTTGCATCGAAAGTGGTGAACTGACAATCGAATCGACAAATATTGAAAAATGAGATCGGGATAAAGCCATTGAAATTCCAAAAAGTGCAAGCACTTGGTGATTGTCATAACTACCGTCGCCATAACTGCCGTCGCTCTCGTATTAATCGACCGTGGCATCAGAATAAATGCCGAATATCATTGTGTGTCTAGAGTATTTCGGAAAGCAAGGTTGGCACTAAAAATACCAAAGTGTCGATCACCTCAAGCAAGCACTTCGCCGGGAATGAACCCAAATACCGCAGAACAACATTCGGGCAGCGTGTGACGGTTGAAGGCCATATTTCGTGCCAAAGGTGACTAATTCGAACAAATCTAAACTTATTCTAAAAATTGATGCTATTTCCGACATTTTTGCTTTCATTCAATAAAATTAAAAAAAAGAGTAAAAATTATGACGTTTGACTTTGTTGCAATTTTTTTATCTCACCCTGTATATTGAGAATTTGCGTGAGGTAAATCATGCCAACTATGATCGTCATTGAATGGGTAATGCGACTTCAGAGCGGTTAAGATTAGATATCGCAATGATTTGTATCTTAATCTGAATCGTAGCAAATAACCACGGCATTGGAGTGCATATTCTGACTTTGAAAATGGCTTAAATCTAAATTTGAATCGCTGAATTTTTGACACAACTGATCCATGTTGATAAATTAGTATCATTTCGAATATTGTCTTGAATGCCGTGGAATGAGAGCAACCTAATTCTCGTTTCTAGTTAAACCTAAAATAATTTGTTGTTACAGAACTGGTCCAAGTTGATAAATTCAAAATAATCGAATTTATTAGAACTGTAAATATCCATTCTAATTGGAATGGAAAAGATTATTCCAATTAACATCAAAAACGACTATGTTTTATATATAATTTCTTTTTGCCAACCCATAAGACTATATGCATATATTTTCCATTGTCTCACAAACTATTTGAATTGTGGTTTCTTTCAGATGCTGTTCAATGTCTCTTCTAGGTGAGTCACACTACATCACATGATGGATGGATGAAAGCATTCTTTGGCTATAGAGAAATACAAAATAAATCTATTTTCAAATGCAAATCTAATTCTATTCAAACATGAAGCCATTAATTTGCGAAAAAAAACTAGCAGATATTACTATCGCATATTACAAATTAAGCATATATTCGTTTCGGTTATATCAAAAAGAAAAAGAAGGCAAACTTAATTGTGTTACAATGTGTCGTACAGGTCCAAGTTACAATCAATTAAAAAAAAGATAAAGAATCTAGAGCATTCATAACCAATGGAATTTAGGCTTTGTTAGTGTTTCTTCATTCCAATTATTAATCTTTTAGCCAACATTTCAAATGACAATAACTTTGAACAACACGAAACCGGGTTTCGTTTTTCAACAAACTGGGGAACAAATTATGAAATGGCAATGTTTTCACAGACATTCAACAAATGGCCAATTTTCCTGCTCAAAAAGATGATATTTATACAAATACTTACGGAAATGCCGCCATGGTAGCCAGTTTTACATATAATTCCTTTTTGTTATTCTTCAGGCTGAAACGATGCGGTGGCAATAGTTTATATTTTTGACAAAATTCATCTGGCTGCAACAGATAGTCTTGGCGACGTTCATCCAAATCACATTTGGTTCCAACTATCATAACTGGAATTTTACTTTCAGCATAGTATTTTATATAAATGCGTGCAATATATTCAAATGAACGAGGATTTGAGGAGTCATATACTAGACAGGCCACATCACAATTGATTTCTTGGGGTTGTAGAGGGTCGAGGGCATGTTTGACATCAATGTCACGTAAAATTAAGTGTTTCTCCTGGCCGTAAACCTACAAAGCACACACACAAGAAAAAATTAATATCATGTTACAAAATGAAATTGAGAAAACTTACCTGTACAGTATTAATACAATGTGTAACATTCGTTCTAAACTCTTTGCCAATCAATGATTTGGTATCATCATTGAGTAGAAAACCCCGACACATGCCGGTTTTCCCTGATCCCTTTGGTCCAATAACATGACACATATACACTGAACGACTGCTCTGGCGTTTGGCCAAATCAATTCGCCGTTCACGCGTCACGTGTATAGCTGCCAATTGTGTATCATTTTCGTGAACATTAAAACCCATATAAGCCAAATATTCCATGGTTTTGTTAACATCTATTAGGGTCATTAAAGCCCAGCGACTAATCCAACCATTTAATGTGACCCAGCCTTTTTCATTTACCGTACACGATTTACGTATATCTGTTGAATATGACCATGGAGCCTGAGGACATGTACTAAATAACATTTTATGTTCTTCCGGTGAGAGAGCACCATCACAATCTTTGTCATAACGTTCAAATAATGCCGTTAAGAATTGCTGGCCCCTGTGCGATAGTTCAGTACTGCTGCCGGGTGGTATTTTCAGTGCCGGTTTCAAATAGTCTTTGCTCATTTCCAGTTGTTCATTGTAGCCAAAGCGACGAAGTACAGCCCAAGTGGTTTCATTGCGACCCCGTTGTATGAAAAGACAATGAAGAAATAGAAATCCTTTTAATGTTACCGAATCGTTGTAGATTCCATCGGGTATATTCTTTTGTATAACTGATTTCACTTCGTCTAGAATCTGTGGTTGGAGTGGAGTATTAAAGCACCGTCTTTGAAACAAATTCAACTCATAGTCATTAAGAAGATTATCGCCATCAATATCACATATTTTGAATATGCGAACTAGAGATTTCTTGCAAGCAGGAGTAAGCTGTAAATATGGGGCTCTGTGAGATCAAAAGCACTTCATAATTAATAGTTTACGCTTACGTCTTGCTCATCCATAATATACAATGGTGATGTTGGATGCAATACAGCTTTTTGTGCATAGTAAAACATTTCCGATATATTGTGTAAGGTTTTGGCAGAACATTCTACACAGCTTTCAACTTCGGGAAATTCTTCCATTATACTGAGAACACTCTGAAAGAAACACAACCAATAATTATTACCAAAGATCCAATTGTTATTTAGATTTGACATACATTAATGGTGGAGTATTCAATCAGATCCACTTTGTTGCCAACCAAAACAACTGGTTTCTTGGGCTGATCTTCACCAACGGCCTTACGTATCAATGGCAGCCAATGGGAAGTAATACGATCAAGGGTGTCATCATCATCCACGGCATAGACAATGCAAACGACATGGGATTTTAAGATTTCTTCATTTAGAGTTTCATCGGACTGTTCAATATCTATAATCAGAAAAAAACGAAAGAAGACAAGTTAATAACAACAGTTATAAATGATTATTTTTCAAGTCATGCTGAGATGTTCTACATTGTGATATAAGACAGTTAGATAAAAACAACATTCTCACTGACAATTAATTTTTCTAAGAGGCTTAAACATTCACTGATAGCATAAGTAAACACTTCAATTTTATTTGTTATCATGGCCTGATTTGAAAACACAATTTCAACATAAAATTGAAACTGGTTTTACATAGTGTAGAACACTCTTTATTTTTTCCTCATACTTACGCGAATAGTCGACAATGTTGGTGGGCACCTGTTCGGGTGTAACATTTGCCGGTATGGTAATCTCTTCCGCTTTGGGTGGAACATCTTCGGGAAATTCTTCACTCACTAACGAAAGGATAAGGGATGTTTTGCCAACTCCAGGATCGCCAACCAATAATATGCGTACATTTTTTCGTTGTGATGTGCCGACTAAGGTTGAGGAGGAGACCATTATGATTTATGTTGTTGTTGTTGTGGTTTTTGTTCTATTGGATTATCTAGACAATGGGGAGTGGAAGAGAAAAAAACAAACAAAAAATCCAATTACAACATGTGTATTTATATAAAAATTCTAAAACAATTATCTCACACGTCCGCATGCTATTTATATTACCACTGGCAAATTGATTTGTCTCTTTAAGCTTATTATCATAATTTCTTTGTATCTTCTATCACATAATTCACTTTTTATTTTATAAATAGACAATTTTTTTACCACATGGGGGTCGATCTGTATGTCCGTTGGTAAGTTATACTTGTCAATTGCAAAACTTTAGCACGCAACACTATCAAACACCACACACTGGCGTCACACACTATTTAATCATCCACAATATTCACGTCTTGTTTTTGTTGGTTTGGTCTTTGTTCTGCCGTTCGTTCCTATTTCATATGTCAGCCCAACTACGGGACCAAATCGATACACTTTTACAGACTACTTACAACTATTTCTGATGCGGCTTATTTTTATTTGCTATGAACTAGGCCTGTAAAGGTTTGCTCATCCGTAATATTCACAGTTCGGCAACAGACATTTTATTTTAATATTTTTATTTGCCAATTTAAAGGAAAAGAAAATTACATAAACTATTATTCAGAGGAATGAAGAAAAACCCAATAAGAAATCATCACCCGCACAGGGATATAAAAATCGACTATCGGCCTAATCGATTGGTTTGCGAAATTTCTTTGCCGGTTGTTTAACATGAACGCAGCCAAAGTGTCAAACATTGATTAGGTTATGTTTACATTAAACGTATGAAAAAGGTTCATTCTAATTGTTCATGTTTTCTTTGTAATTTGTTTCCGTCAGAATAAATAAAATTGAGGTTCTGGACCAAAGCAATTTTTATAATATTTTTTATAATATGATACAATCGTAGTTTTCGCCAATAAAAACATATTCTTTGTTCCAGAACTAGTAAAGTAGTACTAGTTAATACTATTTGATGAATTTTGACGTTTTTTTATTTAAATTAAAATGGCGAAAAATAATAAAGCTTCGGGGTGTTTCTCGTACGTTACGATACCATGAACACTATTTACTTTTCAAAATATAGACATAACCTCAAAGTGTAAACATATGTTCCATACATACCATTTGTCGTCTCCTCTCAGACACAGTCGATTTTGATTCAACCAATTCACCGGCAAACCACCAATAATGGACGGTATCAATCTATTCCATCAATTTGTGGCACGGCACAAACCACAATTGGAAGCATCCAGTGTGCCACAACACTTTTGGCAATCGATTTATCGCAAAGTGACAACGGAAACATTTGATGCCGGTGTTGTGTTGCAGTTGATGTTGATCGAATACGACGAGGAAGATGCTGAGGAGACCAATGTGACAGATGATGAAAAAGAATGTCGGCCGGTCTTTGCTCTATCCGTTGCAGCCGAAGGTGGCATTCGGGCCAACGATCCAAATGCTGTATTTTTAGTTGATCACGCCTGGACATTTAGAACAAATATTGCACGACAGCAATTGGAGCAATATGACGATTTATTGAATCGTATGTGCGCCATTACAGGTGTGGATCTGGAGGACGAACAGCGTGTTGACAAAGTGTTGTCTAAGATGTGGAAATATGCCCAAGTTTATACTTTGAACAGTGATCAATTATCTGATGAAGACCGTCAACCTATTTGGTATATGATGGATGAGGTGGGCTCAGCCGTGGTCCATTCAGATGAACCGAATTTCCGCTTGGTACCCTTTTTGCATTTAGATACCCAGGTGACCTATAGTTTGCTGTTCCCCATTAAGGATTGTGAACAAGGTGACCAGGTGTGTCGTGACTTTGTCGAATATGTGGCCAAAGATGCTGAGGAGCGTAAGGTATTATTATTGCCTTGGCGTTTCACCGATTTAACCGATGAAAGTTTCGTACAGTCCGAACCCTCTGTTGAGTATTTTTCAGCAGGCCACATACCAGAAACCTATCCCGATGAGGATCTTCTCTGTGAGCCACAGATTGATCGGAATGATCCCCTGAAAGTCTACGCCGAATACGACATTGTGAGACAACATTTGACATCGCCATACTTTACATTGGTTGACAATTCCGAGGATGCTGATGTCCTGTGGTTAACAACACATTTCAGAGATTTTGCTGAGCTAGCTCGCACAACACCTAACAAGTTTGTCAATCAATTTCCCTTCGAATATGTGATTACCATAAAGGATTTACTCAGCATCACATGCCGTAGGGCAGCCACAGAACATCACAACAAAGAAACCTTGGAAACTTATCCAACATGGATGCCTACGACCTATAATTTGAAAACTGAACTTTTGCAATTTGCCTCTTACTATCAAAATAGAGCAGCCAAGGGTCTAGATAATCACTGGATTGTAAAACCCTGGAATTTGGCCCGGGGTCTTGATACCCACATCTCCAAGAGTCTTAGCCAAATTGTACGTTTGCCAACTACGGGACCTAAAATTGCGCAGAAATATATTGAAGATCCCGTTCTCTTCTATCGTGACAATCTCAGTGCCAAGGTAAAATTTGATGTCCGCTATGTTGTCCTCTTGAAGAGCGTAAAGCCATTGGAAGCATTTATACATCGTAAATTCTATTTGCGGTTTTCCAATAAACCATTCTCTTTGGATCGTTTTGATGATTATGAAAAACATTTTACCGTTATGAACTATCAAGACAATGCTGAACTGCATCATGTCAAGTGTGATGACTTTTTGGAAATGTGGCAACAACAATATCCCAAGCATTCGTGGTCTGACATTGAAGATCGTATTTGTACTATGCTGTATGAAATGTTGGAATGTGCCACCAAAGCACCAGCACCATGTGGTATTCAACCCTGCTCGCAATCAAGAGCATTATATGCTGCCGACATTATGTTGGAGTGGAATAATAAATCCAACACAATACTACCTAAACTATTAGAAGTGAATTGGACACCAGATTGCAAGCGTGCCTGTGACTATTATCCGGATTTCTATAATGACATATTCAAATTGTTATTCCTCAACGAACCGAATGACGATGTTTTCCGTCCATTGCAAAAGGAGTACTAATAAATGCCAATTATGTATTTTTTCGAGAATTTTTCTTGTGTTGCTTTTGTATGCAGTTTTGGCTGACGAAAGAGTGCCCAGCATATGATATTATTTCAGAAAGCTTTTAACTAAAGATTTGTTTTAATTTAAGAATGTTTTATTTATAGTTTATTACAGGTGTAATAAAATTGAAATTTATGTATCGGATCTACTTTTCTCAGCATCCTATTTATTTATTTTTTAATTTTCTTTTTCAAAATCTTCAGTGTGGTTTGTTTTTGAAAAGAAATGTTCGGATATCAACACACCCTTTTTGTCTGAAAGCAGGGTATTTGTAACCGCAGTGTAAACACAATAGGGGTGTTTGATAACCCAATATTTTGTAGAATTGCATGTCGATTGCATGACTTTACCTTCTTCATTCCTACATACTTGCGGGTTTGGAAAATAATAATAAAATTATGGAGAAAAAGGATAATGACTGAAAACAAAGCAGTAAGTTCGGCCGGGCCAAACTTTTAATACCCTCCACCATTTGGAACGAATTTTGGACTTGCCAAAAAATTAAATCCGTTAAAAATTCTGTTAAAATCTTAAAAATACCGAATGCAGCCTTTATATTATGGTCTATACGACGACTTTTGTCATAAGCCATTACAATATTCAAATGCGAAACTAGAAAAAAAATTCGGTGAATAACGTAGCTAAAATCATCAAAATGCAGAATACAGGGAGATACCATTATATGTTGGCTATACCAAAACGTGGACCTGCACAGACAATTTTTTGATATAGGCTGTATCCATTACGAACTTTAAATGCCAAATTTTAAACATTTCCGGTGAATGGTGTCTCTTAAATCACCAAAATACCGAAAATAGGGAGGTACCAATATATGGGGGTTACATGAAGACGTGATCTCGCATAAAGAATTTTCTGTCATAGGCTGTAGCATCCGTTACAAACTTCAAATACCAAGTTTAAAACGTTTCAAATACCAAGTTTAAAAGATTTTGATGCGCCTACCTTTATTCTACCATGATAGCTCGATAAGTACAAAGAAGACTCAATAAACATTGTACTTACTTGATGCATCTACCTGTACTCCCATGGTAGAAGAATACAGGTAGTCGCATCGACACAGCTGCTGGGACAATGAACTGTCAAACCGATTTTGGAATTGAATATGTTGAATGAAAAATTATTAAAATTTGTAAAAATTTTTGAAAAATGCATTATATAATAACCTCTGATTTCGTTTTATTTTATTTTACATTTAAAAATCCACTCATAAATAAATTTAAAAATTTTGACATATCAATGTTCCCAAGCGTTGATGCATCTACCTATATTCTTTTACCATGTGTACTCCTCTACCATGGTCTTTACACAGAGTGTAAATGTGAGAATACATAAAGCGCTTTTCTGACTGGTTTAAGTCAGGCTTCTTCGGAAAAGTAATCGAGCCGAAATCGAACTAAGTCAACCTAAAACTCCTTTGTTCCTCTCCGAAAAACCCAGCCGATGACTTAAGCCAGGCAAAAGAGCCTTTTATGTACTTTCGCCTTAAAATCATACAAGTTTCAATCAGCTATTGACGCCCGTATTGTGTGTAATTTACACATAAACGGCGTCCAACAAATGTCGTTTTCTAACGGCGTCAAAATAAATAACATTCGGCGTCACACTCTAAACAGCCGCTTTTTTATATAATCCACCGCATTTCAGGAGTAGTATTGCAAATAATTTCGCAAATTTCTCATTTCTTAAAACAATTCTTCATAACTAACTTCTACAAAAACAACAATAACAATGGCTGATGGTAAAGCTTGTACCTTGTGCGACAAAATTGGATTGAAACCATTCACCAAAGAAAACATTTACTACTACTACATTCCCATTCATGGTCTGGCGAGTTATGGGGCATTATCTCTAAATGTTATGAATCCTTCGCTGGTATCGAAGGTCCTTAGCCCTAGGAAGGATTTGACAAATGCATTGCTGTTGAGTTCCGTAGGTTTTTAAAGTCAGCTTCACACGTACGTGTTAATAAATATAACCTATTTTAAATCATTTAATATAGGTTGTGGGTGCAGCTTTCTACATTTATGGACGTCCCGCCTTAAAGGCTGTTCCTAATGGAAAGCGCGGTCTATACGCTATGTTGGGCGGCGGTTTGTGGGCAATGGGCAGTGTTCTCTTCTGGGCTGTTTTGAAATCTGTGTGCCCTTCAGATAAGGCTGCCGTTGCCACTATTGCCGGTCTAGCTACTGGAGCTGTAATTGTTAAGGTTGGCAAAGACTATTTTGAAGATGTTGATAAACAAATTAAGTAAACATCGGCTGTAAAAAGTGGTTACTGCCAATGACATCATCATATTTCTTTGTGTGTCTTAATAGATTAGATGCATTCAAAATGCTTCTCCTCAGTCATTGATAAAAGTGAATTTTTTCTAACTGCGTACTTGTGTTGGTGTTTTTTCATTTCTATCATTGAAATTTACATTTTGTTTATGTTTGTTTTAATTATTTAGACGTTAAGTTAAATGGGCATATGCATACTATATAGAATACCCTTTCCCAAAAAAAACGAATAAAATCTTATAATAAAAAGTGAATAGAAATAACAGCTGTTTGAATAAATAATTAGCCGTTTCTGCGATTTGTACTTATCTATAAATCTATTGCGTATTTTGTGTGGCATAACATCCACACAAAGTTAAGGGATATATGTATGTAAGATAAAGCTATGCATTTGCAATAAATTAAAACATGCATTTGTTTTGTTGTTCGGAACGTTTTAGCTCTTCAATACATGCATGTGTAAATGAATCCAAATTTAGCCAAATATATTGTAGGCTATTCCCATATAAAGTCTTACCTAGTATATTCTAAACGGGACAACAACATTTATTAATAGATAAACGCATACCACATACCAAAATGTGTTGTTTTTTGTCCATTGAATAGGTAGGCTACCAAAATAGGTAGCGGCCAAATATAAGCTTATTTTTAAGGTTGATGACATTTATCTATGGTTGCTGAAGAAATGTTAATAAACTTTATTGGGCATACATTTAATAGTAAAATGTTTCTGTGTTAGAAATATTGCATATAGGATACTTTTAAATTTTTGACTTGACCTGTTTATGGTGGTTTATGATAAAAATGATGTTTTTCTTTCGACATATGTATAACGACGAAATAAGTGTGTGGCAAACCTTCCTTGTATCAAAAAATACCTCTATAGAAAAATATTAAAATTAGAGTGTATATAGCGCTGGGGAAATATGGTAGAAGAATATAGGTAGATGCATCAATGCAACATTGATGTGTCAAAATTTTTAAAAAGTTTTATCACAAATAAGTATATTTTTAATTATTTTCTTATACAACGCAAATCGGTGGTTGTTATAAATATTTGAACTATTTTTACAAATCCCAATAATTTTTCAATCAACATTTTCAATTCCAAAATCATTTTGACAGTTCATTGTCCCAGCAGCTGTGTCGATGCGACTCCCCGTATTTTTCTGCCATGGGAAACATACACTGCCTTTACACGGTGCAATTTTTAGCTGGCATTTTTATCAATTCTCTTTTAAAATTTCTGCGTAAATCTTCGCGCCTTTACACGGTGGCATTTTACGATAATAGTGCTTGGCATTTTTCCTGACATTTTATTTTATTCAGTATTTCGTATAGAGCTAATTGTTTGTAACAGATATTTATAAAGAAGTGATTTAAAATTAAATGTGTGAATCTAAAGAAGAAATGATGGAAAAAGTTATTGAGGTGTTAAATATAGCATTATTAACTTTTATTTTAACTTTCTTTTTTTACTTTTTAATACTTCCAATTAATTTTCATATAATTCACTATACAATTCAATCGCTAAAAACATCACATCACAATAAAAGAAACGCATCAAAAATTACAATTAAGAAACGATATGAAATGTCAAAATCATAAAAAATTCAGAAGAAGCAAAAAGAGAAATGCAAAGAAAATGGCATGTAACCCTGTGCGGTGGCTTATCGTGCCATTTTTTCTTCTATCCTTGTCTCTCTACACCTTTTACCAACAAAAAAAAATGGCATGGTTAAAAAATGTCACCGTGTAAAGGCAGTGATACACTGTCTTTACACGGTGACATTTTTTAACCATGCCATTTTTTTTTGTTGGTAAAACGTGTAGAGAGACAAGGATGGAAGAAAAAATGGCACGATAAGCCACCGCACAGGGTTACATGCAATTTTCTTTGCATTTCTCTTTTTGCTTCTTCCGAATTTTTTATGATTTTGACATTTCATATCGTTTCTATATTGTAATTTTTGATGCGTTTCTTTTATTGTGATGTTATGTTTTTAGTGATTGAATTGTATAGTGAATTATATGAAAATTAATTGGAAGTATTAAAAAGTAGAAAAAGAAAATTAAAATAAATGTTAATAATGCAATATTTAACACCTCAATAACTTTTTCCATCATTTCTTCTTTAGATTCACACATTTAATTTTAAATCACTTCTTTATAAATATCTGTTACAAACAATTAGCTCTATACGAAATACTGAATAAAATAAAATGTCAGAAAAAATGCCAAGCACTATTATCGTAAAATGCCACCGTGTAAAGGCGCGAAGATTTACGCAGAAATTTTAAAAGAGAATTGATAAAAATGCCAGCTAAAAATTGCACCGTGTAAAGGCAGTGATACAATCGTTGATGATACTGTTATTTTTTTAACCGAGCAAACATATACTATTCTGTTCGTCTATTCCGACCTTAGATATGTACGATAACTTTTCTAATAACAATTACTCAGTTAATTTTACGAGAGAGAGAATTAAGAGAATTTTCTCTCTCACGCCAAAATATTACAAAAGATTCTCGAACAACAATCAGTAAAATCTAACAAGAAAATAGCTCTTTGGAACAGTTAATGCGTTACACTTTTAACTTTTTTAGAAAAAAATCAAAATTGCAATTTTTGTATTTAAAAATAATAAAAATTATTTTATTGTACAATATATTCTTAAATGCTTATTATATGACAAATAATTAAAATATGTAAATTATTGCCGGAAATTTGTAAACATTTTTACATCGGCTAGCTGTAGCTATTTTTCAATCAGCTGATGTTACTAGATAAATTTCACTAAGTAAATTTTTCCTGAAAAAATCGGCAAATTCTCAGTAACTCAACTGTCATATTTTCTCGCTTTACTCCCTCTGATTTATTGAAGTCTTGAATTATCAAACATTATTTTGCTACATTTTGTACAAAATATTATATATTCCTTTGTGTTTAAAAATTGTTGGAAATGCATAAAAAATGCTTAAATACAATGTAAAACTCACATTATATTACTAAAACATGATGTGTAAACTAGCCTTTACAAGAAAAGAAGTGGAAGCCGTTAAATTTCTCTTGACGCCGTCAAAAATATATTTGCGTTGTAGGCTTCTGTTTGTCAGTTTTTATTTTTGAATATAGTTTGGAAAATAAATTCTTTGGAGTGGAGTAATCTGGCAAATCATTTTGAAAAATAAACTTATTGGACTTGAGGTGACTTTCTACAAATTTACCTTAATTGGAGTGCAACCTGGCTTTTTGTATCCTGAGGATCGCCAATGCTCTCTATAAGATAGGAGAGCTCGCTTGACAGTCCAAAAAAAAAAAAAAAAAAATTTTTGAATATCGAATTAATTTTGAATATTAATAGATAACAAGTTGAAAAGTGATTATATCGAGAGTAAGTATGAGGGAGTTTTGTTATTTAAATGATACATGTTTTCAATTAGCCATACATTGCAGTTGAATTACATTTGTAAGTTTATCTGACCGGTAATATGGCATCGAACGACAGATTCTCTTGTATTTGTTTATACCATCTAAATACTAGGCTTAACTCTAGTTTAGTAAAAACTCTTCAATTTTTTCGAAAATTTTTTCAGTGGTAGGTATTTTAACCATGATCCCGGGAAACTATTTTTTTCTTGGGGGACGGACCTGGGACCCCAGATTTTTGACCCGAAAGTCCGGGTTCGAGACCCCTACTAGACCCGGATCCACTTACCCGATATAGACAATATGGGTATCGTTGGAAAGCTTATGAAAATACCTATCCAACAAGTGGTCACATGATGGGGTAAGATCTTACGGTTCGGAAGTTATAGTCAAATTATCGATTTTTTGGACCCGGATTTTTTATAAAACCCCCAAAAAGTCAAAAAAGGGTCCATTATGGGGGACAACAAAATTGATGCCAAATTATAGCTGACACTTCTACCTTTCCAAAAAGGTTCAATTTGTGCTAATACCTTTACTGAGTCCAGAGATATGGGTCTTTCCATCCGCATAACCCGATTCTAACCAGTTCATTAAAACTATGTTTTCAATAAAAAAGGTATATTTTGCGTAAGAATGAAATTCAGAAATCTTTGGTTCGCGTTAGCCGGTGTAGGACATACCCAGAGGAGAAAATCTCAAGCCCCGGCCGAAGGCCGGCTACTTACAAAAGGTATCCAATTTAGAAAACTTTGGTTCGCGTTAGCCGGTGTGGGACATACCCAGAGAAGAAAATCTCAAGCCCCGGCCGAAGGCCGGCTATTTACAAAAAGTGTCAAATTTAGAAAACTTTGGTTCGCGTTAGCCGGTGTGGGACATACCCAGAGGAGAAAATCTCAAGCTCCGGCCGAAGGCCGGCTATATATAAAAAGTGTCAAATTTAGAAAACTTTGGTTCGCGTTAGCCGGTTTAGGACATACCCAGAGGAGAAAATCTCAAGCCCCGGCCGAAGGCCGGCTACTTACAAAAGGTATCCAATTTAGAAAACTTTGGTTCGCGTTAGCCGGTGTAGGACATACCCAGAGGAGAAAATCTCAAGCCCCGGCCGAAGGCCGGCTATTTACAAAGAGTGCCGAAATTATGAACCTTTTGTTCGCGTTAGCCGGGGTCGGACATACCCATAGGTGAAAATCTCAAGCCCCGGCCGAAGGCCGGCTATTTACAAAAAGTGCCAAATTTAGAAAACTTTTGTTATTCCGACGACTGCTACGCGAAATAAACACTTTTTTTTATTAAAAACATAATTTTAATGAACTGGTTAGAATCGGGTTATGCGGATGGAAAGACCCATATCTCTGGAACCGAAAAAGGTATTAGCACAAATTGTAGCATTTTGGAAAGGTAAGAGTGTCAGCTATAATTTGGAAACAATTTTGTTGACCCCCATAATGGGCCCTTTTTTGACTTTTTGGGGGTTTCATAAAAAATCCGGGTCCAAAAAATCGATAATTTGACTATAACTTCCGAACCATGAAAACTTACCCCTTCATGTGACCACTTGTTGGATAGGTATTTCCATAAGCTTTCAATCGATACCCATATTGTCTATATCGGGTAAGTGGATCCGGGTCCAGGCGGGGTCTTGATCCCGGACTTTTGGGTCAAAAATCTGGGGTCCCGGGTCCGTCCCCCAAGAAAAAAATAGTTTCCCGGGATCAGGGTAAAAATACCTACCTCTGGAAAAAATTTCGAAAAAATCTAAGAGTTTTTACTAAACTAGAGTTGTTCCAAATACTATTATAAATTGTGGTAAGATGTGGTAAATAACATCTATCTTAAATGTTTTCCACTTTATGTCCCACTTCTTGTCAGATATGGACAGTTGGATTTCTCTGCTCAAATATAGGAAAACAGTGGGGAAATCTTAGGCGTTATAGAGATTGTCAGGCAATTCACTCGATAAGTTGGCCTCTACTGACGTTTTTGTGGGCGAAACAATCGTCCCAGACAAGTAACGCAATGGAATTAGGTTATGAAATTATTAGCCATTGCGAGAAATCGTTGTCTATCCATTATCTAAACTTTGAGTGTTCTGCCGAAATTGTATTTAATTTAAAAGGCATAGACATTAAAACCATACAATGCTCATTTTCCTCTACAAGGTATGTGTAGGATTTCATCTCTGCACTTTGCGAATTTAATTTTTTAATCCCCCTTAGGTGCTTCTCCATTAAATTTGGAAAAATAAAATTCATTTTTACCACTTACTTTTATCAGTAACTCCCTAAAACATTCCTCTAGTCATAGTTTTTAAAAATATTTATGATTCGTTTTTATTTTCCTTTTTGAATGCAACAAAAAAATATAATTTTCTTAAAAAATACGTTGTTTAATTTTTTACTTTCTTTTCTAAATGAGATATAATAATATTTTTTGGGCATGGAGCGGAAAATATCTATAAGAATTATTACACAAATAAAAATAATATAAAAAAGTTTACAAATATTTTGCACAAAAATATGTTTAGAAATTAAGGAGTAGGAGGTGTATTTTTTTTAATTTTTTGGACAGGATACAGAAGGAAAATACGTATAATTAGCATGATTCGTTTTGTTTGTTTTTCTTCTGTACTTTGTTTAACATGATTTCATTTCTTATAATAGTTAAAATAGATGATAGATGGTAATATTAGAAAAATAATAATAAATTTTAAATTTCACAAATTTAAAACAATAAAAAAATAAAGATAAAATTGCCGTAAAACATTGATTGATTTGTTGCTGTGTTTTTGTATTTTGTTGTTATTTCGTTCGTATGTTATTTGCTTTGTGTTATTTTTGAAATTTTCAAGGGGGAAAAATGGCGCGGGTGTGTAGTTTTTGTTGGATTTATATTTATTAAATTTGATAAAATTTGTAATTAATTTACACATCACTACAACATATGTATTTTGTATATTTATAGAGAGATAGAAATATAAAACAAATTGTAAAAAGTAGATCTTGCAGGAGGTTTATTTTTTGTGGCTGTCATTTTTTACTTAAAAGAAAATATTAAAAGTCTTTAGATATACGTCGAAGACGTAAACTAGTATTCCAAAAAACGTAAACTAGAATATTACATGCATATTTCAACAAATTTATCCTTTAATTGGAATTTTAAATAGAATTATTTCAATTATCCACTTGAAATTTTTTAAATTACAAATGAATTTATTTCTTTTTTGAAATTGAATATGTCCACATGAAATAGATTTTATACAATTTTAAGTAAAATATTTATCTGTCAACTGTAGATGCTTAATACGTCCATAATAATCTGTTGTCATAATAAAAAATAAAAAAACTACATTGGTTAAATTATTTTTCCTCCCACAAAGATTTTGAGTGTTGTTTTTTTAAGAGGCTAATACAAATTTAGCTTTGAAACAGAAAATTCCGAAAAGATAAATTAAAAAAATGAAATCAAATACAAAAAATACAAACTACAATTATTAAAAAATTTACAAGATTTATGTAAACAATTTTTGTGTGGACTATGGGCTGCATGCAGCTCCATGGCTACCACCACCTCCATCATTGTTATTTGCACTTGTTGTTGTCGCCGTCGCCGTTGATGAGCTGGCTGGTGTAGTATTGGTCTCGGGTAATTTGACTTTTAATTGAACCTTTAAAACTTCACGTAATTCATTGAGCTCTTGTGGACCTTGCATTTGTCGTTTGACACCACGCGGCAATCCACGACATGAGGCCAGGTTAATGCTACTCATCAATGGGCAGTTAGCCAGAATTTCTTTGACTGCTTCCTCGGAAACGGACGAACCACATAGATTTAAATGACTGGAGAGGAAAATACATTTCTTAACATATCAATGATAATTAAGGCTTTGTTACTTACGCTAAACGTGACTCGGCACCCTTATCGGCCAAGGCACGTAAGGCATTGTCTAAGGGTTGTTGCACGTTGGCCCAAGCGAGATCCAATTCAATTAGGCTGTGGGCCCATTTAGAAGCAATTAATTCCAGACCAGATCTATGTGAAATTATAAAAATGTCAAACATCAAAATATCAATACTGGAATTAACATTGGATTTCTTTAAATAGCAAACAAAAAACTCTGTTTATATTCACATAACAGGAAAATGTGCAGAAGATCGAAGATATGTATCCCTAAAAATAGCTTACCCCATATCTCTTGTAACTGAACATCCGGATAAAAACAAATGTTTCACATCCCATGTTGGCAGACGTATCAAGCTTTCATGTGTCAGACGGGCACAGCCGCGTACATCTAAGAGTTTTAGTTTTGACGAAGATTTCAAGATACGTTGTATATGTTCGTCGCCAATGACACGTGATTCATCCATAACGGCTACCGATAATTCTTCCAACTCAGGAAAACCAGGTGAATCCATCTAAAATGTACACAAAAAAAAAGCAAAATTGTTAACATTTCGATAGATTAAATTCGAAACAATAAATCATACCATTTCTTGTAAGGAAGCCGTACTCAGTGTTATATGAGAATTGGTAATGCGTAAAACTTTCAGTTTTGGACAGCCTTGCTGTAATTTCTCAACATGTAAGATACCATGAGATGTGGCTTGTGTTGTTACATTGGATAGATCCAATAAAACTAGATTTGGACAATGTGTCTAAATGGAAATGATAAATTAGAGTTATAAGGAGAAACAATTTGGATAATTTTACTACTTACCGATAAAACATTGACTATTTGCGGTATACCGGCTAAACGATTGTGCGCCAAATAAAGATGTGTCAATTTATCACCCATAACTTGCAAAGCATTGCACAATGATTGCACACCCACAGCACTTTTACTAGCATTCATTTCGACCTAAGGGGGGAAAGGTTAAAAATAAATATACTGCAGAAGACCATATGAATTTATAATGTAAAAAAAGACTAGAAAAAATGGAACTACTGTTAAAATCGAAAAATGCATAGTGATCCCTCTCTTTGTAAAGGATCCGGGATGTGTTTTATAAAGTAATCTAGACGTGCGTAAAAAGGTAAATGTCATTTCTAGTAAGGCCAATGGAGGGCGTTAAAAAAGAAAACCTAAAACTGTTCTTAAAGGGCCAAAAAGGTTTCTTTTAAGTCTGTCTTCAAGTCTACAAGGCCTTCTTCAAAGAATAAATAAAAAATAAAATCGCCCCTCCTTTAAAGAAGGTCTGATTTGAATTCTTTATAAGAACATCGGTAAATCTTTAAAGGGAAGATGTATCCTACTACTTCATTGAAGATATTCTAAGATAGATTTAATTTTAAATAACGACAATACTATGAGATTTTCCAATGAAGAAGACCGTGGAGTCTTCTCATAAGGAAATATAAAAGGTATTCACTTATCAAATTATGCTTGATTGACTTACATTCACAGAACTTAAGTCTAGACGTTCGAGTTTTTTCATATTTTCCACCAAATATGCCAAATGATCACATGAGAAACCTTTCCAACCCGATAGGGTTATGCTTGTTAGATTCGGGGCACCAGCAGCCAATTTCATTAGAAAACAACTAATGTCGGTGACTTTGAAATTTGCTAAAAGGAATAATATTATTTTATAAGAAAAAGGTAATAATAAAAAATAATTTCAATGTCGGTACTTACAAACATTCAATTCTGTGCAACATGAACAGCGATTATCCACAAACCACTTTAATTTTAACTCGGTGCGATATTTTTCTTTTATCCATGTGGTTAGGTCCAATGAACGCCATAATGTTGGGGACAAAGAGACACGACGCCACAGAGAACAGACACGACCCAAACGGAACAATGTTGGAAGACAACCTTCCCTTTCGACAACATTTTGAAAAATCTGCAAAGGAATGAGAACCTCAATATATTTGGGTTTCAAGTTACTTGGACAACTTACCTTAAAAAGCACTGGTTCTGGCAAATCTCTACCCCATATACTTTGTTCCACCACTGGCCGTTTGTGTTCATCATTTTCAGCTTGCGCCGCACTGGCCGTTGCTGCTGCCGCCTGCCGTTTAGAGCTGCGATCCTTTTTCCGTTTCGGTTCATAGTCCAATTCATCGGCTTCATCATTGCTGTCGTTTAGTTTAATGCGCTGTTTTGAATTTCTGGAACTTTTACGACTTCTCCCCGAAGTGGTGGCCGATTTATTTATGGCCTTTGTAACGGCTGCAATAGCAGTAGCTGTGACCGTACTTAATGAGCTGTCGGATTTTTTAATACACAGCTTAATGCCCGTTTTATTTTCACTTATCTGCGTAGATGAAAAGAGAATACAAGTGTATACGTTAAATATTGTGAGGGATTGGCCATGGTATGACCATGATATAAGAGATTTCTTATGGATTTATACAGGTATACAATACACAATACATATATTCCTATCAAATACGTTTAATTGACATCACTACAATGGAGAATATCGTTTGTTTTGACCCCCTAAACCAGACGAGGGATTTAAGGTATATCCCAAAAATTACGTTCACTTTTTTTGATATTTTTCCTTACCTCACTTTCATACATAGGTCCCGCTGCCGCTTTAGGCTTCCGAGTACGTCCCGATTTGGCAGACTTTTCAAATTTCTTACTGATAGTTGACATCAAAGGTTTCCCAGCATTCGGTATGGTACCGTTGCGTACCACATTGATAGCATGCGGGTGATGAATAGGTGGCGTTGGTGGTTGTATTTGTGTTGGACTCTGTTGTGATGGATCCTTTAGGGCATCCATGGAAGTTTGGTCTGCAACATCGGCCGTGGGTGAGGAATGTTCCGCAGAACTATTGCCAGTTATTTCAGGCGGTGAATATCCGCCACCGCCATCCCCTTGACCAGTTTCCGAGGGTGGCGTTGAGGCCGGGGTGGAAGCTGCTGGCGATGTTAGATTGGGTGATTGCATTTTGCCATCCGAATCAGTACCTGTACCACCAACACCACAACCACCTCCTATGGATGTGGTGGGTGATTGGGATGGCTCTTCGGTTGTGGAGGGCGTTAATGTTAACGCCATTGACTTGTCATTGTTGGTTCTGCTGTCTTCCACTATTGTGGTGGCTTTATTTGGAGACAAACTGTTGTTCGTGTTCAATTCATCCTTGTGAATGCCAGCATTCTGAGAATTTTCAACCTTATCATTATCCGTTTCCATTTCACAATCGTCTGTATTATTCAAATTAGCGGGAGCAGCAGGCACTTTATTTTGTTGTTGTTGTTGAGATTTTGTTGTCAAATTTGAACTATTTGTTGCTAGAGCGCCATCAGCAGCAGCAACGCCGCCAAGTTCTTTCCCTCCCCCATCTTCGGCAACAACATATTTTGTTGCCGTGGACGAATCCTCCTTATCACCTACATCCATTGCCTCCATGTTTCTTTCCCTATTGGCCTGCCTAACGTTGTATTCTTTTTAGCTTAGTGGAGAAAGTTGCAAAATCCGTATTCCTTTGGTCCATATACTTCCTTCTCGTCGTTGTCTTTCGTTATTAATACTATTACTAGATATTGCTCTCCGATTGGATGATGTTTTGTTTTCTTATTTGCCCTCCTCTTGGTTTTTACTGCTTAGGAGAAGGATTAGCGGTTTTTGATCTATTTTTATTTATGTGTTTTTTGTTTGATGAGAGTAGTACAGTTATTCACTATTTATTTGCATTATTCGGTTTTCTCTTCACTACACTCATCCACTTTACACACGAACATTACAAGGATTCTTATTGTTTTTCCTTTGATTGGTTGCAACAATTTTCAAGGATTTATTACTCCTTTAACAGTTTTTGTTTTTCCATATCAAACGAATTTCTTTGGACGCCACTAAAGAAATTTTTGCTTCTTCTTCTTCTCTTGAGATTTTCAGATTTTCTCTACTTCGGTTCGTTAATGCACTCTCTCTCTGCAGCGACGGCCGTTAGAGTGAAGAATGCAGCTATACGTCGATTTGTGTTTTTTATTGTTTTTATTTTATTGACTTTTTCTCATGATAAACAATTCAATTTGTGTTGATGGACACTTCAAAACTTCACTTCGACGACGTAATTAACTGGTGAACTCCATTTCAAGATTCTTTTTTAAATTACAATTATTATTGTAATTATTGGAGTTGGGAGAAAATAATAACGCCAATATAGAGAAAATAATTGCCGTTGTTTTTCCCACCATTTATTTACGCGACGACGAAAAAACTGATGATGACGATTTCAAAGTATCTATTATTCGTAGCTCTTTTCTCAGCTTGTACCCATATTTTTTCTCTTTCTTAAGCATTGCCTCTTTGTTTTCCTCTTCTCATTCGTAACTCTATCTCTTTTTATCATCTTTAATATTTATTCTTTGTCTCTTTCTTACCCGCCAGATCTTTTATAATTGAACAATAACGATGAGTTTACACAAGGCAAAAGAAAATGGAACATGTAACGCCATGTTTACACGCTTGGTGTGGTCTTAAGGGAGTCTTACTATTAATCTGTCTCAGAATTGAAATCGAAGAAAATTAGCAAAATTAATTTAGTTTATTATTTAAAAGAATACATACAAATACAAAAACCTTATACATGTTATGACATTACCATGGTAGAAGAATACATGAAGTTGCATCGACACAGCTGCTGGGATAATTAACTGTCAAATCAATTTTGCAATTGGTAAAAGTTGTTAAAGAAAATGCATATCATAATAGATTGGCGTAGTAGCGTAGTAAGTTCTTACAAATTTAAAAAAAAAACAACATTTTAAAATTTTTGTTTGATTTTGATTGATTTGTTGTGGTTGAAAACATATTGTGGTTGAAACAATTTGCGGCTCATAAATTATTATAGTTTTTGTAATATATAATATAACCACTGCAATCAAAGGAAGTAAAAAACACACGCAAATGTGTGATAGCAAAACTTATGAGTCATATGTAAAAAGGCAATTTTGACATACAGGGTGAAATAAAAAAAACTGCAACCAACTTCAGACTGCTGTCATTTCTAAGCCTCTTATCCGTCACATCTTAAAATTATTCCCGCGACAGCTCACTATATTGTTTACAAACGTACAAAAACATTTTGTTGAGAATTTTCAAGAAAAAAAGTTATTCGTGATGAAATTCAAGCGTAATAGTGTGATTTCTTTATATTTGGCTGAAAACCACAAGTGGCTGTCATTAGAGCACTCCAGCATTTAAATGTGAATAAATCTTTTGTGTCGTTGCCGTGATACTGGCCCGAATTCAAGGAAGTGGATGGAAGAAAACAGCAATATCAGCAGAAATGGATGGAAAAGTAAAGAAGCGACTTGATCGAAACCTGCGGTGCAGCAGCCGAAATGGCTCGTGAGCTGAACATATCGCAATATTCCATTCGGAAAATATTGATAAATGAGCTCGGGGGAAAGCCATTGAAATTCCAAAAAGTGCAAGAACTTACACCGCAACAGAAAAAATAGACCCAAAAAAGCTAAAGAGTTACTTCGCTTGGCCGAAAGTGTCGAACTGCCGAATTTGGTTTTCTCCGATGAGAAAACATTCGTTATTCAGCATTTTGTAAACAAACAAAATGATCGTGTTTACTTGCCAAAGAGGTCAGCTGAAAATGTGCACATTCCGTTGGCCACCAGAACTCAAGCGCCGGACATTGTGATGGTGTGGGCCGCCATAACAGCTAATGGTCGCTCTCCGCTCGTATTAATCGACCGTGGCATCAGAATAAATGCCGAATATTATCGCGAAAATATTCTGGAGGGTGTATAAAAGCCTTACAGTACGTTTACATATAAATGGGTTAACCCACTGGATTTGGATTAAAATTGTCATATCCATTACTTATACTTCAAATTAATCCTCTTGAAGTAGGTTAACCCTGCAAAAAGATCTAACGTCAACATAGCATTAGGCATGCAAACATTTGGCCGCAGACCTTGGACATTCCAACATGACTCAGCACCATCGCAATCAGCACGCACCACCCAAGAATGGTTACAAAATGAGGTTCCTCCAATCCAATTCCTCTAATACCAATCTGTTGGACTATTGTGTACGGAGTATTTTGGAAAGCATGGTTGGCACTAACAAAATACCAAAGTGTCGATCACCTCAAGCAAGCACTTCGCCGGGAATGGGCCAAAATACCGCAGAGCAACATTCGGAGAGGGTGTGACGGTTTCATTGGCCGTTTGAAGGACATAATTCGTGCCAAAGGTGACCAATTCGAACAAATCTAAACTTATTCTAAAATTTGATGCTATTTCCGACCTTTATTGCTTTCATTCAATAATAAATGCCAGCTAATTGAACTGACCAAACAGAAATTTAAAAAGTTACCGTTGTGATTGAATTCCCTTCAGAAATTGTGATTTATTTTTTCATTTGAGAATACATAAAACGCTTTTTGACTGGCTTTTTCGTAAAAGAACAACGGAGCGTAGAATCAATATGGAACTAAGTGAACCTAAAACTCCTTTGTTCTTTTACGAAGACGCCAGCCGATGACTTAAGCCAGGCAAAAGGCGTATTATGTATTCCCCTTTTGTGTTGAGCTTAAAGGTGCAAGCACATAAACAGTTTTTTTTGACTGGCTGAAGTCATCGGCTGGCTTCTTTGGAAAAGGACAAAGGAGTGTAGGGCCAAAATCGAACTAAGTCAACCTAAGACTCCTTTGTTCCTCTACGAAGAAGCCAGCCAATGACATAAGCCAGTCAGAGAGCCGTTTTATGTATTCTCACCATAACTTTCCACCAATCTGCTATTGACATTTGATTAACCTGTAGATATCCAGTTTGTGATTAATTTTTTCAAATTATTTTTTTCATAATATGTGAAAAATATTTTGGCAATTAAGCAAATAATAAAGTCTATTAAGCAAATTAATTGCAACCAGAAATTCCGAAATATTCATGTCCCATTTAAAAAAAAAAAAAAATAATTCACCATTCCATCATAAAGTTTCAAAACTTACCGCTTAATATTACCCCATATAAATGAAACAACTTTGTCATTAATTTTTTGTGAAGATGAAGATGACGAAAAATATTATTTTTCGCTGTATTTATTCAATAAATTAGCACCTAATAATTGTTGTCACACAAGACGAAACATATAACTAGGCACAGACGAGATTTCTTTTGAAATTCACAAAACCATATCCAGACACGATATGAAAGATTATTAAATATTAGATAAACTATACGCAGCAGTTTTGGAATATATATGTATGTATTTTTTTTATAAGAAAACGTGTCCAAATAATGGTTATGTGTGTGCGTTTCTTGGTCTTAGGCGTATGAATGAATATATTTAAGTAGCATGTTAATAGAATTTTAACACAAAAGTGTGAATTGTAAAAAATTAATTATGTTCTAAGATAACAATTTACAGATTTACAACAATAATGTAAACAGCTTTATAGGTTAAAATAAAGCTCCAATCTTCTACTTGAGGAAAACATGCGCGGAATATATTTGTATTGCCACAAGAAGGACAAACTACAGGTGAGAGCAAGAACCATTTATTAGGTCCTGTAAAGGGCCTTAAAATCAGCTGGTTTACTCCTTAGAACTGTCAAAATTTCTTCTGAAGCGAATAATAATTCGCCTTTTTGTGGCGAATTCGTAAACATCTAAGAGACAAAACAAAGCATAGGAGCATAGAAATAAAATTAAACAGAAAGCAAGACGTTCCAATAAAAACACTTTTGGCAATTTGTGCTCCATTTTTTCCTGGCGTCGTCGTCCTTTGGAATGGAGAAAAACCCCAGAACAGAATTCAGTTTTTGGTACATAAGCAGCTTGAAGTCTTCACATGGCATATTTTGTGACATCATAAAAGGACGCTAGATCAGCACTCGAATCCTGCCGTCGCTTTTCCTTATAATTTGACATTAATATGCCCAGTCATGATGAAAAAGTTCTTCAAAAGAGAGCGACTAAACAGGGAAATATTGAAAGTTCTTTCACTGCGAGTTTGCAAATTCTTGCTGGACACTTTTTTCCTTGCAATCATTTGCAACGCTAAAGCTAATTTAAAACATCTTTATTATGAAAATCGCATGCCTAATTATTTTGTTTTCGGGTCATTTTTAATTTGCTGTCATTTTTAATGGCTGACAAAAAATTCTTCGTTTTTGACAAATCAGCTGATTGCTTGCAAGTTCATGCAGGTATTCCGTCTGTTAATTTTTTATAGAGAAAATAATAAGAGAATAAAACTATCTTACACTGAGAAAGAAACTGCTTGACAATTCCTGCAGGAAAAGTAAACACACAGATCTATTGTATGATGACAGCTTGTCATTTTTATAGCGAATTCCAAATATAAACAAATTTATGTTGATAGAATGGATGAAATTAGCTGGGCTAATCGGACGACCTATTTAATGGGCCTTGGGTGAACATAAATAAAAACTTTTTTTGACTGGCTTAAGTCATCGGTTGGCTTCGTCGTAGTGAAACAAAGGGGTTTTAGGTTGACTTAGTTCGATTTTGTCCCTACTCTTCTTTGTGCTTTTCCGAAGAAGCCAGCCGATGACTTAAGCCAGTCAAAAAAGCGTTTTATATATTCTTACCATGGTAGAAGAATACAGGTAGAAGCATCGACACAGCTGCTGGGACACTGAACTGACAAACCTATTTTGCAATTGAAAATGTTTAATGAAAAATTATTGAAATTTTGTAAAAATTATTTAAAATTCATATTATAACAATCGCCGATTTGCGTCTTATAAGAAAACATTTAAAAATATATTTATTTTTGATAAAACATTTTAAAATTTTTGACTTATCAATGTTCCCAAGCGTTGATGCATCTACATTCTTCTACGATTCTTACCTTTAAAAAAAAATAACTTCCTTTTTTATGGTAATACCATGTTCTTATTAGCGTTTGAAACAAGTTATTTGTATGATTGTACAAATGTACTTTCTTAATCCTATCATGTATTAATTGAAAGAGAGGAGCTGGTAAAACTACCAGTTGATTATAATTTCTTTTCTAAGTGTGCCCGACATCTGCCAATTTTGTGGATGTATTTATTGTCTTGAAAAATAAAAATATTTTCAAAACTATGATTGGAAGAAACCTGCATTAAACAGTTTGAATCATATTTTTCAAAGAAATTATAGGTATTTCATTTATTTTTCGCGTTATTTAAATCATTTCAAAAATTAGGAAGAAATATCAAATTTTGCATAATTCAGACAGGAAGAACCCTACTATCAGAGCTGTATTTTTGCGAACAAGTATGTTGTGTATTTCTTTACTTTTCAAAATGGTAAGAGTCGTAATGGCAAATCGTGAGTAAAAAGAGAATAACTTAGTAAAAAGTTGAAGATTCTAGCTCATATGGTAGTAAAATACAACTCTGAGTCAGGTATGTCTGTTTCAGAACCTGAAGTTTTTTTATGATATCGAAAAATATTGCAAAGCTAGTAAATTCTTGCTACTTTGCCGCGCACTGTTATTATTATTTTTTTTTTTGAATTTCTATATATATTGTAATGGTTCCTGCAATGAAAAACGCGCAATAATTTAGCTTTGGATTTTATATAATTTTTTTAATATTGATATAAAGTATTTAAAATATATTTTAAAATTACACTTATAAAAAATTAGAAAATTTTAAATAATGCTTATTACTAAACTTAAATTAAATAATATGTCCCATGAGATATATTTTATTAAAAATGCTTGTTGGAGTACAGTTGTGAATTTTGATATTTAATATTGACTGAAATGGGAAATAGTTAAAAAATGTAGGTCTTTATAAGCAATGCAATTGTAAGACATAAAAAGTATCCCCGACAATGAAGTACGAATTATTTAAAAAAAGTTTGATTAATGCAATGTGGGGAATTTCCAAGAAAAACAGCTGATTTGTGATATAGTAGGAACATGGTAGAAGAATACAGGTAGATGCATCAACGCTTGGGAACATTGATATGTCAAAATTTTTAAATGTTTAAATAAAAAATAAGTAGGTTTTAAATGTTGTTTTGATGCGACGCCAATTGGAGGTTTTATAAAATGAATTTTTCAACAATTTTTACAAATTTCAATAATTTTTCATTCAACATTTTAAATTCCAAAATCAGTTTGACAGTTCATTGTCCCAGCAGCTGTGTCGATGCGACTACCTGTATTCTTCTACCATGAGTAGGAAATTCAAACAATAACTCAAGACCTATTTGACGCTACATATTTAAGGAACAGATTGTGACCCTATATATGTAGAATCCTTTTTATTAAGCACCAGTGATATAACAAAGTTTTGTGATTTCATGAAATTTCTTAAAGGAATATTTTGGTGGCTTTAAGAGTTGAGCACATTTATCGTTTGGGTAGAAATCATCTTCCTTTTTTAAAACAGTTTAATTAAGCTTAGATATAAGTATGGCGTCAAAATTAAGTATTCCTCTTGTCACAGCTGATTCTCAGACTAGCTGTCAAAATGCGTTATTATCATGGTAGAACTAAGAAGGTAAAGTCATGTAATCATATGTTTACATTTTTTTTTTCAAATATATACATTTGACAACATCTCATTGTCAAAATCTATATTTATAAATCCATGGTATACACACAAAATCAGAGATGGGATTTGACAAGGTAAATTACAGCAAATGCAGAACTGGGAATTCCAAATGAGGTTACCTTTACTTCATTGTACCATGGTTATTGTGATTGAAAACATCGTACGAAACATAAGCAATTTTTGACATTTAGTCTTACTTTAAATACTGGGTACATCCACCAGCTTAATATTGCTTCGTAATATAGCCAAGCTATTTCTGGTTTTGCCACCGTCGCCTTTTTTGGAGTTCAGTTCTAGGTCTCATGGTAGAAGAATATAGGTAGACGCATTGACACAGCTGCTGGGACAATGAACTCTCAAACCAGTTTTGGAATTGAAAAAATCTACTTATATTTGAAAAGACGTTTAACATTTTTTAACATATTCATATTCCTTAGCGTTCATGCATCTACCTGTATTCTTCTACCATGCTAGGACTAAAGGCTAAAAGTAAGTTTAGATTTACGAAATCTACTCATTCTTAAATGTCAATTCCATAGCGTATACGTCAAATAATATCCACTGAATAAACTAATTACGTGACGTATACGTTATGAAAGTGACATTTGAAATCGACTGGATTTAGCAGTTTAAACGTTGTATAAACTACGATTTAAGTTCTATTGAAAGCTAATTTTATTTTATAAAACGCATTATTTAGATTTTCTTTGATGTGAGTGTGAACATAGTTTAAGGAGAAAACTCATAACAAACATGGTAGCTTTGAAATATTTCTTGCAGAAAATTATGGTAAAGGAGTGGGGTTGTAGTTGTCTTTTATTCTTCTGCCGTAAATGCTGTTTATGTGTCTTCACCTCTGATGTACTCTATTTGGCTTTGGAGTAACATAAATCGAAAACAGCAATTTTTTGCATTTTTGTGCATTAGTTTCCTACCAGCCCTGAGGAAATTTAGAAAAAAACTGTATAAGTTCCGCTTCACATTTTTGTAAATACTTATGCTTTTCCCAAGTATAATATTGATAATAATCAAAACAAATAGAGTTTGGAAGGTCGTTCCTTTTTCTAAGAAAATAGGAAATATATTATTCAAGGCTCTATCAGACAATATGTTTTTACATATGTAGTGTCAAAATTTGCATACATCGTGTGATACATAGACGACATTTCAGTTGTGAAATACATGAGTAAATGACATATGTACTTTCGATCACAGTGAGCTATTTTCTTAGGAAGAATATAATTTAATCAAAAGTGTTGTCTGTTTGTTGTGTGAAAATATAAAACACACGGTAGAATCAAGAAGGTAAAGTCATGCAACCATATGTTAACAACTTTTTTTCAAAAATTATTCATTTGAGATGTCAAAATCTGTACTATAAATCAGAGATGGGAACCTGTTTTAATGTAGTGAAATGTGACAAGGTAAATTGCAGAAAATGCGGAGATGGAAATGCTTATTTGAAATGACTTTTCCTTCTTAATTTTACCATGTATATAACATTAAATTTGCGGTAAAAAATCATCCATAAAAGTTTTAATTTTTTTTTTGAAAATACAATGTAATCACAATGTAGCCAAAGAAAATAAAAAAACATATGCATGTGTATGATAGCATGAATTATGAGTCATATGTAAAATGGCCATTTTGACATTCACATATGTAAAACACTTATCGTCTGATAGCAGCTTTAAGAAACTACGCATTCATCATTCCCTCTCTTATCTACATTGCCTACATACTAACTACCCGAAATTATACACTAACTTAACTGCTTAGATCAATAAGTTTGTTATTTTCACGCGATTTCAGATGCACCCAAAGACCGCCGGATGCTCGTAGTGTAATGCGAAACACTGGCTCAATATTTGTCTTACCAGCCACCGGTAAAATATGGTAACTCCGCAATAGTCTTGAGATGACAGTTTTGATTTCCATTATTGCAAAACGATTACCGATGCAGTAGCGTGGACCGGCACTAAAAGCCAAAAAGGCATAGGGATTACGCTTTTCCGAGTTTTCAGGACTAAAACGTTCCGGATCGAATTTCTCCGGATCGGGATAGATATCGGGCAGACGATGTGTTGCAAAGGGGCAAATGAAGATATTACTACCGGCTGGAAGGGTAAATTTCGTTAGCCTCACTTCTTCACCCAATTTCCTGGCTATCAGCGGAACACTGGGATAGAGTCGCAACGATTCCTTGATACACATTTCCAAATAACGCATTTCACGCAAATCTTGCATTGTGGGAGCACGATCATCACTGCCGAATATCCTTTCAATTTCATCCATACATCTCTCTTGGCAATCGGGATTTTGTGCCAGTAGAAATATTGTAAATGCCACAGCCGCACCCACCGAATCTTGTCCAGCCAACATAAATGTACAGGCCTCATCGACAATGTCATCTTCATTGAACTCACTTGGATTACCATCGGATATTTCAATCATATAATCGAGCAGACATTTTTTTGCTGTTATTTCATTGTTCTGTTTCATTTCACGACGATGCTGTATCATTTTTCGTGTAAATTCATCGAGTAGCCGCTTTTGCTTCAGCTCATCCGAAGCCAATTTGGACATTTGATAGATTCCGTCGAAGAGTAGCCAAGGTTTGAGAAAACGCTGTGGTATTTGAATTTTACCTCTGCAAAGAAGTGAGGAAGAGAAGAAATAGTTAAATATAAGAGGTATAACATTGTGACTTAAATAGATATGAATGACCCATTCAAGGTGAGAGCCTGTCAAAAAAGAGCCGTTACAGCTCTCAAATTGAGCGTGTTCTTTGAAAACCGACATAAAACAACAACACTCGTGCAAAAAGATTGTTGGATCCAATCTAAAAGAACTATCCTATCAGAATAAGAGTTCCTGGGGCATTATCACTACAGCAATCACTCGCATCTGGTGGAATACTTAAATCCCAAGGACACCGAAATTTAAGGAGGTAAAGTCATGCAATCATATGTTTCAAAAATTTTTTTCCAAATTTTTCATTTGACATTTTAATGTCAAAATTTATTTTTCTAACTCTAACTCTGTGCATACAAAAATCGGAGATGGGAACATGTTTTCCGTGCAGTGAAATTTGACAATGACCACGACTTATTTGAAATGACTTTACCTTCTTTATTCTACCATGATTGTACCGGGGAGTATACGCATGCGAAGCGGTGTAGGATAAAACAGATCAAAGCTTGATGGTATGCGTACAAAATACTTTGTACATACTTTTAAGTGCGGTTGAGGCGCTGGGGAAATCTGGCAATAAACAGTAAATATTCTAAAATTACATATTACCCAGCCGCCATAAATCTGATCTTGTGCGCTCAGTAAATGTACAAAACCACTTGAATGAAATGTCAAAAAACCATGTAATGTTCTCCATTCAATATAAGAATAGATAAAGATAATTGTGTGGCTGCGATTATGTTAAGTTAGATTAGTTTTTGTAGCACTTAAGAAACATATTTATGAAATAAAATTAGAATTGAAACTACACCCAAAGAATAAGGTTGTTCTTTCTTTTCTCATTTTCTACATTGATCCTTCGAGCATAGAATAGAGAATAGAGTTGACAATCGAAGAGGGAGATTGGACTCTTTTCTCACTTAAACAGTATGTTTAGATTTACGAAATCCACTCGGTCTCAAATGTCAATTCCATAGCGTATACCATGGTAGAAGAATATAGGTAGTCGCATCGACACACTGTTGCTACTTGTAGCTGACAACAGTGTTGTATTTTCATGCCGAAGTCAAGATTTTAGCTTGTATCTTTTATTCGCCTTTTGGACTAAAACACAAATAGCGCTTGCTTGCAAAGTCTGCAAATGGCAAATTATACGGGAAGATTAGAACCACCCTGTAATTCTAAAGGTGGGAATACATAAAGCGCTTATTTGGCTGACTTAAATCATCGTCTGGCTTCATCGGAAATGAACAAAGGCGACTAGGGCCAAAATCGAATTAAGTTAACCTAAAACTCTTTTGTTCCTCTACGAAGAAGCCAGCCGATGACTTAAGCCGGCCAAATAAGTGCTTTATGTATTCACACTTTAACGCCCACGTTAGATTGACAAAGTTAATGTGTGAGTATTCATCTAAATTGTAAAAGTTTTATTCAAGCGTACATTGGAAAAAGTAACAATAACAATACAAAAATATTTTTGTTTTCCATTTGCAATAACTGTTGCGGAAATTACTTTGATGATTATAAGTAGTTTAGAGATTTTTAGGAAAAAACTGCATACGCTATTTAGTCCCGTTTAAAAATATGGCGGCCGTGGTTTATTTCTTCTCGAAGGGGGTAATTTTGGCGGTGTGAAAGCAATATTACCCCCGACAATTTTCTCGCTTATGTTGCTATCAGACCATAAGGGTTTTACATATGTGCTGTCACTTTTATTATCCATATGTATTTCTGGGTGTATGTCAAAATTGCAATTTTACATGTGACTCATAATTTCAACTATCATACACTTGCACGTGTTTTTCATTTCTTTTGGTAAATTATTTATGATTATAACACTTTATGGATGACTCCTTGCCGCAAATTTAATTTTATATGTTTTCACACAAAAAAAAACAACACTTTTGATTAAATTATATTTTTTTCGTTTAAAATAGGGCTCGCAATGATTGAAAAAGTACATATGTACATTGGTAGAAGAATACAGGTAAATGCTTGGGAACATTGTCTTAATTTTTTAAATGTTTTTCATTTTTTCACAGATATGTACATTTGTATATGTTTTATTATACGACGCCAATCGGAGGTTGTTATGATATGCATTTTTAAAAATTTTAATAATTCTTCATTCAAAAATTTCAATTCCAAAATTGATTTGACAGTTCATTGTCCCAGCAGCTGTGTCGATGCGACTACCAGCATTCTTCGATATGTACGTACTTCGCTCATGCATTTCACAACTAAAATGTCGTCCATTTATGGGTGTGCAACTTCTACATAAGGAAAATTTGACACTACATATGTAAAACCCTTATCGTCGGATAGCAACCTTAGGTGTGATTTCTAAGTTCATTTGGGGATATTTTTTGTTTCCAGCGAAGTTACCCCAAATATTTAAGTCCTTTAATTCTCGTTGTGGGAATAGTCCGTTTACACATGGCACTGAATTCTATTTTAGTTTCTACTATTTTCAACAACTGTACAATTACGTTACTACCATGGTAGAAGAATACAGGTAGATGCATTAACGATTGGGAACATTGATATGTCAACAATTTTTAAATGTTTCTTCAAAAATAAGTAGATTTCTATATGTTTTCATATACGACCCCAAGCGGAGGTTGTTATGATATGCAATTTTAGCAATGTTTTCAAATTTAAATAATTTCAATTCCAAAATTGGTTTGACATTTTATTGTCCCAGCAGCTGTGTCGATGCGACTACCTGTATTCTTCTACCATAGTTACTACTAAAAAATAACTATGTCCTAGACGACAATTTCGCTTCTCAAAAATGCAAGTTTAGGAAAATAAATTGAAGGAAATAATTTAAAAATCTGCGAAGGAAATCTGTTTCATACTCACTTTCTGAATGGCGATTCTTCCATATTCAAATCCTTCTTCTTGATTGGTACTCCCAATACGGCCTCTAAAATGTTATACCAATAACACGATTACCATTCGTGTCAAAATATTACGTCACAACTTACCATTCAATATATCAATAATACAATCATTGACAAAATTTGCTATATTGATATTTTGTCCAACCAAAGGATCCAATTTTTCATATAAAGCCTGTGAGGCATCAGCAAAGGTGCCTATAAATCGTTCTAGGATGCTCAAATGAAATGTGGGCTGAATTAGCCGGCGATGGGTATGCCATTTGTCGCCGCTATTCGTTATCAGACCCTTGCCCAAAAAGTTATACATAAATCGATAGAAAAATACTTTGTTGGTGTGCTTTTTCGATGACAATATCATTTGTAGATCATCCGGTTGTAGGACCATAAAGAATGGGAATAACAGGACCCAAATTCGTACCAAAGAACCATAGAGTTCTTTTGCTTTGGCGGCATGCTGACGCATTACTGAAATTAAAGCAATAATTTTAACTTTATTTAATAAAAGTATTACAAAATATTACTTACAATTCTTCTCTTTTAGCAGCAAACAATTACCCATAACGGGAACTGCCGTCGGTCCGGACAGTTTCAGTGATAGAAACACCGTTTTCAAATAGTCGCGAAATGTAAAGAGTATCAAAAGAAACAGTGATAGACTGGCAAAACTCCATAGCTCTGATTGCGATGCTTTTTCAAACTGTAAAGAAAAAATAAAATGCATTTGAAATTAGTAGATTTATAGAATAAGTAAAGTAATAGTATGTTTACATTAAAACTTTTTGTGGAGTTAACCGGCCAAATGCGGATTAATTTAACGTCTATGGCATGGTAGAAGAATACAGGTAGTCGCATCGACACAGCAGATGGGACAATGAACTGTCAAACCGATTTTCGAATTGAAAATTTTGAATGAAAAATTATTGAAATTTGTAAAAATTTTTGAAAAACGCGTACTTTTATAACCTCCGAATGAAGTCGTATAAGAAAACATATAAAAATCTACTTATATTTGAAAAGACATTTAAAAATTTTGACATATCAATGTTTACAAGCATTCTTCTACCATGTAAAATACGTATATATTAATAGTATGTTTACATTAAAACTTTTTTGTGTGGTTAAATTGCAAACACTATTTATTTGTGATTACCAAACATTGCTAATATTTAAATTATTTTTTAATTGATGTTTTGTTTAGTTTCGAGTCACGTTGTAAACACTATTTTATTAGTTGGCATTTCCGCAAGACAATACTAAGCGAGGCATGCCTCACTGATCATTTGCAATAAAACGGTCTGACGATTCTATTTACGTTGGTATTTATTACATAATCATACAATATTAACATAATCATTAATATTAAAATTGCATAGTAACAAATACTAAAATATTTTGTGTTGATTTTTGATACGAAGGAACCTGGTAATTGTCAGATTTAAGCACGTTTAGATGCAACATTTTGCAGGATTTTTTTATACATTATCTTTTGCTTGTGTATGTATATGTAAACAAACATCAGCTGAGTGGCATTTATATCCTTGCAATCATGGTAGAAGAATACAGGTAGATGCATCAACGTTTGGGAACAGCGAAATGTCAAAATTTTTATATTTTTTTTTCAAAATTAAAAAGATTTTTATACTTTTGCTTATACGACACCAAACGGAGGTCGCTATAATTTGCATTTTACAACATATCTTATTAATTTGAATAATTTGTCATTCAACATTTTCAAATTAAAATATTGGTTTGACACTTCATTTTCCCAGCAGCTGTTTTAATGCGACTACCTGTATTCTTCTACCATGGTCGCAATTCACATGTACAAAGTTTGCTGGAAAGAGATATATGTTTTGTGGAAAAGCACAGAGTTGAACAAGGTTAATGTCAAAATTTCTCCGGCCCCTCTTCCGAAAACTCACTATTCTCAAAGCAAGCTTTTGTCATGGTTCCCATGGCAGAAGAATGCAGTTATTCACATTGACACCGCTGCTGGGACAATGCACTGTCAAACCAATTTTGAAAATGAAAAATTATTCAAATTTGTAAAAATTGTTAAAAAATACATATCATAACAACTTCCGATTGGCATCATCCCATACAAATCTACTTACTTTTTGTAATAAAAACACTTAAACAATTTTGACATATCGCTGTTCTCAAGCATTGATGTATCTACCTGTATTCTTCTTTGAATTCTTGCCATTTTGACAATCAGCTGTTATCCGCACAAATAGTTCTGTTCAAGTGAACACTAGGTTAGGTCATATTATCATAAGTTGTTCATGGTAAGGTATGGTAGAAGAATACAGATAGACGCATCAACGCTAGAGAACGTTGATATGTCAACATTTTTTAATGTTTCTTCAAAATTAAATTAATTTGTCAGTGTTTTTAATTTTATGTATACGACGCGAGTCGGAGGTTGTTATGATATGCATTTTTAAACAACTTTAACAAATTTGAAATATTTTTCATTCTAAAATTGGCTTGACAGTTCATTGTGCCATTAGCTGTTTCGATGTTACTACCTGTATTCTTCTACCATGGATTAAGGGGTAAACAAAAAAAATGTGTTTACATACATCTTTCCCAGTGTTAACCGTAATCGATTCCCATTGTCAAATTTATTGTGATTTGATTAAAGATTTGTATGTAAACGTACTTTTAGAGGCGTGACCGAATTTTAACTGGGTCAAAAGGAAGTCCTTTATCCATCGATGCCACGGCAGAAAAATTTAGGTAGATGCGTCAACGCTTGGAAACATTGATATGTCAAAAATTTTAATGTATTTCCAAATATAATTAGATTTTTATATGTTTTCTTACACGACGTCATTCGGAGGTTATTATAATACGCGTTATTCATCAATTTTTACATATTTAAATCATTTTTCATTCAATATTTTCAATTCCAAAATTGGTTTGACAGTTTGACATTGTCCCAGCAGCTGTGTCGATGAGTCTACCTATATTCTACTTCCATGATCGCTGCTACACCAGGTCCGGACAAGAGTAGTCACATGTGCCTTTACTGAGCGTACCTTTACAATCAGGTCAATTTAAAAGCGATGCGATCAGAGACTAATAAATGTGGAACATAAATGTCCGAATTTCTGCCCGGTCCAGATTTATACCTTAACATTTTTCTCTACGAACAACAGTCAAATCATGGTACAACTACCAAGGTAATCTGATGCTATTATACGATTACGATTTGTTTCTTTTATGTCCCTTTATTGTCAAATTTATATTTTGTAGTTCTTCCTTAAATATGGGCGTACGCTGGCAAGAGTTTTTCATTAATTTCAGACCAAATATTTTGTTGTTTTCATGCCTTTTAGAGGTTATAAAAGTCAAGTAAGAATATCGTCTAAAGCAGAAAACTACAATATTAGTCTGATAAGTCGTGTAAGACTTAATTATGAAATGATAGAATGAAACAAAACCATAGCAAAAGTATGAAGACAATATCACACTATTTTTACAAGATATTGCCAGTGTAAAGGTAAGGATACATAAAGCGCTTATCTGGCTGGCTTAAATCATCGACTGGCTTCTTCGGAAATGAACAAAGGAGCCTAGAACTAAAATCGAACTAAGTCAACCTAAAACTCCTTTGTTCATCTACGAAGAAGCCAGCCAAATATGAGCTTTATGTGTTTCCACCCTAAGTTTTCGTTTTAGTACAGAATTCATATATCAGATATTGTCAAGATTTTGACAACAGTTTTCAGCTGGTAGTTCTGCGAATTTGTTCATTAAAGGCGGATTTAAACCTGATTGGAGGCTTACACAATAACTAACATCACCGAAAACGTTTCCTTAAGATGAAGGGTTTGAAATATTTATCTTTATATGTTTCAGTCCAAGAAAAGATAAATAATTTTGGCATTCCTGAGATATGGAATGTACAACTGCTTTTACTTGCCAAAGAAAGCCGAAAATAAAAGAATATTTATTATTTTTGCCACTCGTCATACGAAAACATTTTAGATATGAAAAAGATTTTATTTGAAAAATGACAAGGTCGAGTTCGTCACAAAAGGGTTGCCATGTTCGATTTAGCAAATGAGTTTACCTTTATTGTTTTTTACACGAGTCTAATATTAGAAGTCGCTGATGCTATCGGCGCTCTTATATACGCTAGAATGATGACATTCCTTCTGTGGGCCAGTTAAGATGTCCTCATCTTTCATTCTCAATGCTAAAACAAGGGATTTCTTATATCCATGACGAAACACTCACCTGGTATTGAAGTAATTTGTACAGTATTCGAACTGTCCGAACTTATTGTCGTTTAACTTATTTATTGCGTATTCCCCAAATAATCTCCTTAAAATTGATTTTCTCACAACGTCAAAGCGATTGATCGATTTTGGACGTGTTGTCGTGAACAAACAATAACAGAATAATCTCTCTCTCCCTTCCTAAATAATATGACTTGTTTTTGGGTAATTAAATGAAATAATCCGTTTAAGTTATGAATTCAATTTATCAATTGGAGTATTTTTTTCAAAATGCCACAAAGCTTTGGCATGAGGTACATACATTCGGGCAAACAAAGCGGTGGCTTAACATCTCTAATTACCAAAGAAAACACGCGACGACGTGCAGACAAGTCATTCTACCATAAAACCGAACAACCTAAACTTGACAATGAAATGTGTCAATGGTGGAACGAATATTTGAGAGATTTATTGGTGTTGAGATGTTCATGTTCGGTATTATCTCATGAGTTTTTTTTGTTGTTATTTAAAAAAAAACTCTGACACATGAAAGAATGGGAAATATTATCGGTCGATTATTGGGTACATTGTAAAAATATAAAGTCATCTTATTTCTTCTTTGCGAAAAAAAAAATAAAACTAATTTTTAGACAAAATTTCCTTATTTCCGAATACATCTGGACATCCCTATTTTATAGTTAAAAACTAAATAAAAATTTATAATAAATGTTTTGCAGCAGAACCATGGTAGAAGAATACAAGTGGACGCATCGTCACAGCTGCTGGAACAATGAACTGTCAAACCAACTTTGGAATTGAAAAATGTCAATAAAAAATATTGAAATTCATAAAATCTTTTGAATAATGCATACATAACATAACATCATAACAACCTCCGATTGGCTTCGTATAAGAAAACATATAAAAACCTACTTATTTTTGACAATTTTTTTTAAATAAATTGACATATCAATGTTCTCAAGCGTTGATGCATCTACCAATATTCTTCTACCATGAGCAGAACTTAAAACTAAATCACACAACCAAAATTATTTAAAATTTATTTATGTATTTATTACAAATGTCACACACACGTCAACATTTCAAATTTTGTTAATTGTCCTCCCACACGATTCAGATAAATCATCAGTTTTAAATTATAGACGAAATTCGTTTTCCGGATACCAATTTAGTTATTGAAATTGCCCATGTTTGTAGTTAAGTGTGAAACCGGTGTAATAATTTGGAATGCTTTTTTAATATTTGCTATTGCCTAATTATGGTTGAATCAATATTAATTAGAGAATTTGGAATTTGTCTAGGCTATTGACCTATGGAAGATGGTGAAGTTGTCCATGCTAAAATCGGTAATTTTTTACAATTGTACAAAATATTTTGTACATACTTTTGAGTGCGGTTGAGACGCTGGGAACATCTGGTAATAAACAAAAAATATTCTAAAATTACA